TCCCCTTTGCCCAGCTCTCCAGCCTGTCCAGGTCTCATTGTACTCCTACTCTGTAGCATTCTTTTAAATAATTTCTTTACTCATGTTAATATTTAAAGGTGACTAAGCAGCAAAACTGGCCTCTGGCTGCCTGCATGGGTGGGCACCAGCCCGCAAACCCTCCCTGAGGTTCATTTGCACCGGGATATGCACTGCTCCTCTGGAAGCAGTCAGCTGTGATGGCTCTCTGGCAGGCAGGGTGCTGTGGGGTGAGCCCAGTGCAGACACTCAGGCAGGGTGAGCTGTGCTGGACCCAGTGGGGCTAATCCGCGCAGGTCCTGCGCAAACACAACGCTGCTGTTCCTGTCTGCATGGCCCCAGCTAGTACACGTAGGAAGGAATTGAAGACCAGGCAAAACTGCATGGCTGGACCAAGGCTTGCCTTGCCCATGTCATTCACCAACTGCTTTTTTTCAAGCACTGGAAGTTAAGCAAGAGCCTTGCCTCACAATCAGATCCTGGGGAATCTGTTGACCTGTGGCAACTGGAGTTTAGTACCAGTGAATGGCATAGCGATGACATTACTGAATAACATTCAGAGTAATATCTGTTTTTCTATTTTGTTTTCAAGTGGTTCTCTCACTCAATAATATGGAGCTTACTGAAGAAAACTGCTGGAGCTTATGCTTGTCACCTTCAATCTCCTGGCCCAGCCCATGTTTTTTCTATCTGGCTGTTTTGAAGTACATCTCGTAACATGCTTCCAAGATTTAGAATGACCCCAAAGGCAGGTCCCGGGAAACAGCCTGCAGATCTCAGAGTATAACAAAGCATGGGTGATGCCCCATCTTCTCCTGAGATCTGAGCAGGCAGCAGCAGAACTGGGCTGACCTCAGTCCTCATCTTCTTGATGATTTTCAGCTTGCTCGGGCACTAGTGCAGTGGCACAGACCTCCCCTCCTCTGAACAGCCTGGGCTGAGCCTCAGCTGGTTTATCTTTGCTTGTTGTAGGCATTGATATCTGATCTAGTCAGCCAGAAAGAGCTGATTTGAGGGTGCAGTTCATCTGATCTACTCTAGACAGATGTCTGCTTTTCATAAGTCACCCCTAAACTATTTCTTTCTCCCCTCCCCTGTGACTACATGGGGAGCGTACAGCGACTAGCACAGGCACTGTGGGAGTGAAGTCCTGTGGTCACCGAGGCTGTGTCGAGCCTTTCAGCTGGAGCATTGCAAAGGGTGTGTTGGGCTTGGAAATCTCGGGCAAGTGATCAGCTGGGGCTGTGCAGCATGCATGTGGCTGCTTGCTGTTAAAACGTTGTTTCCATTATGGTGTTGCAACCTGGGTCTCCTAAAGTAACCTAGCATGGAGTTTCTTTACTCAGGAGCATTGTTCCCCTTGTCTGACCTGTTTCTCTGAGGGAGTTCAAGCCTTATCTCCTTCTCCTAGTGAGTGGTCACAAAGTGGCAGCCTCCTGGGCAGGAGGCAGCCGAAACTGTTCTCCTTTGTAGGTCTCTTGGAGGCCATGACAAAATACAGTATCAGCACTTTCGCATTCCTTAATATACTGAAGTTACATGGCGAGAAGCTGAGACTTCTGATGTTTATTGCAAGTGCTATTTATAATACCAACATGAAAGCAGAGCATTTATGCATTAGAAGTACATTCACTTTGGAGAAGAGCACCAAAAAACCAGTAATAAGATCACACATAAGCTACTGAGGAGCTAGACTTAGTCAGAAAAAGTGACCTCTGCTCTTTTGTAATCGCTCTTGAAACTTTCAGAGCAATGTTAATCCAAAGGTCTTCAAACACTTCACAGATGTGTAATAGGTGGAGACAGCTGGGGAAGAACTCACACTGATTTTTGTAGACTTTGGTTAAAATTAATGCACAATGTGTAACAGGCAGCTGAAGGTCAGGAACTGTTGCCCCCAGCCACTCTGCTTGAGCCACCAGGCACCTTTATTCCTTTTCTAGTCTCCACTTGTTGGTGTCATCACTCTAAATTAAGTGGCACCAAACTTCACAGCATATAACTATATGCACAGAGGCTAACAGAGCTGTTACAGACTACAGAGGCTCTTCCCATCATCTAGTCTAACTCAGCAGCCTTTCTTGATTTCTGAAGTCTTCAAATGATGGAACGTCTTCACAGTCTTAGCTAATTGTTCCAATAATTAAATGCTGTTATTGCCTAGAGTCTACTCTTAATCCTTGCTCTCAGTCCATCTAGTGGCAGTTTTCAACACTGAGTGTGTTCTCAGGGACACTTCTGAATGAAAAATAACCACTAAAGCTGGTTTATCAGTCAGGTGAGAGTCTAACGTTTAAAGCTGTACTGCACAGCATACTATAATCTGTATTTTAGGAAACAATATATCTCTTTTACATATATTCAAAGTATTTTTTCATATATTGTTCCATACAATATGCAGTGAGTGTACAGCTGGGCCAGTTAGTTCTGTCTTCTCTGTTTTTGTTCTACCAAAGGCATGCCAAAGAAATGGATGGCTCTGCATTGGCTCAGTGAGGCCTGAATTCATTCTTGCTTCACTGGAAGAAAAGTGAATAGTAGTAGGGGTAGCTAATAGGAAAATCTTGCTGCTTTTGTATAGAGCTGATGCTTCAATAAAGCCTTGTTATTCCTTGATTTTCTAGATCCCAAGCAAGGAAAATAGTTTTGTGCATGGTCAAAATAAGGTCTTACAGTGAAGATCAACATGAAGAATTAGCTGGAGCTAGAGATCAGCATTACACATATTGAAGCAACAGTGAGTAAGGAGGGACATAGTTGCACTTTATGGTCAGCACGCTTGTTTTCCCCATGTGGCAAGTTGCCTGGGAATCACAAGATGCCTTATCTTGCCTAAACCTACCTCCCAAAAGGCTGAGTACACCAGCTAAACTCACCTGAAATGGACAGAGGCATTCTGGGCAGTGTTAGCTCTTAGATCTGTGAGCCTTTAGATCCATGGTGCCTCTTTGTAGAGCTGTCAGTTGTTCAGAGGTTAGAGTATGTGAGCACCACAACAAGGGTAGTTGCTTTTCACCCAGCTGTTGGCCAGCTGTGGGAAACTGTGGCACCAGTAGTGTTGGCTGTGACAGTGTGTTTGCACACATGGATGTTCAGAGCGTGCTATGATAACATGTTACACTGCTGTAGGGTTGTTTTTTCCTCTGAGAAGGAAGGAAGGAAAGAATTTTATGCAGTTCAGCAGTAGGAAGATGAATTTTCATCCATCTCTTTCCAGGTTTCCTGCCTGAAACTACAGCATGTCTCTGCTTCCACTTAAAAAGAAGGTAATTGTTTCATAATCACCAAAGTAGAATGAGAGGAATTGAGGAAGCAGAGTGACTGCCCCAGAGAAATGCCCAGGAAAATAAATAAAATGGCCTGTGTGTCTTCCCATCATGAAAACAATGCAGTTAACTTCTTCAGATAGTGAAGATTAAATGTTGGTAGGTACCAGCTCTGGGTAGCTTGGTGTCAGAGTGATAGAAAGATCAGAGTCATAGGAGTAGTACCAATTACCATAGAATTTCTCCATAGACAGTGGAAAACTGCCTGTACAGAACTCAAATATATTGTATTTACAGCACATGAGTGCAAACAATGGTAGGTTGGAGCTCTGAATGTGCGGCTAGCCCTACTGCTGGTCAAACAGCACTATAACAACCACCATCAACACAGTAAACTGATAACGTGCTCAGAGAGTATAAATATCTCTGTCGTTGTGGTGTTCATGGCACACTGGGTTTCTGACTGCTCAGTGAAATGGCATTTGACTGAAGATGTTTGGTGTTTGTAGAGGAAGCTGTTCCCAAGCCAAACCACTCCTTTGGAACACAGCAAAGAGTTGCAGCACCATGATGGGTGGTTTTGTAAAGCGTAGGATCCTCGGTGAAATTATCCTGGGCCTCTCTATCCAGGTCCGCTGTCGTACGACAAAAAAAGTGGCAGACTGAAAAAAATCTTTATTGACTGTCCTTGCTCAGCTTAAACTACGTGTTTTCTTTTGCCACCTGATATCAGCCCCTTGCCACCAAAACCACTTCTTGTAATCAGGAAAGAAAAGAAGCCAAGACATGGAGTATTAAGTCATTATTTATAATTATTTTTCTGCAGATTAAAATGATTTGCTGAAATCTTGTAGGATTTGCTTGGTTTATATCAAGTTCTTAGCACTTAAATTATACATGCCCACACTCAGTAAAGATTATTTCACCCCATGTGTTTACTGTCAGTATTATTTTGAGTGTGTTCTACTCAGTTCTGTAAAACATTAAATGCGCCAGAGGAAATACCAAAGGTGAAGATATTGAATGCTGCTAGTGTTACAAAAGATAAATAAGCTGAAAGCGTTGACATGACAGCCTGAGATACCATAGTAAGCTGTGGGTTTTCTCCACTCCAAAACTGCTTTCAAGCCATGGTCTTTTGTACAGCACGATGGGAGAGTGAGGAAGGGCTGAAATAAAATACGAATGAAAATATTTTTAGCCTTTACCAGCAAACTTTTCAACAACACTGATGTGCTTTCCACCCATTCTGCTGCTCAGCAGGGACAGGATTCCCCATTCACTGGTCAGAATGCATATCCATGTGTATGTTGTCCTCCCCAAAGGCAGTCAGGATGTGGCTGTGTCAGTCTGGGGGTGCAGAGCTCTTCCAGGAGGAAACTGCCAGCAGCTATAGCCTGGGGACAGCAGGCAATGGATGCATCTGTCCATGCCTTTGCTTTCCTTTCCTCTTCTCCCCCTTTCGCATCCTCCTCTCCCAGTTTTATGTGCACCTGCCAAAAGTAAGTCCAGCTTCTTCCTGCCTTTGGGTCCAGTTTCTGCAGAAATGGCCACCTTATTCTTGCAGTTGATATATATATAGGTAGAAAATCACATCAGATTATTGGGCTGTTCAGAGCAGGGGTCGTTTAAGAAGTGCCTTGGATTTGCACGCACTCTGCCTTAAGGCTGGCTTAATGGCTACACAGTGCTTATTTTGGGAGAGGAGGTCCGTACCTGCCTTGGGGAGCTGGTGAAGATAACCCCCCGTTTGGCAGACTCCTCTTTCTGCCTTTGTAATCTTAGCCCATTCTGGCCTGATGGATCTGATTGCCCTGCCGAGGCCTTGGCAGCTGGTTTTGTCTCTGTGGTCAGCTCTTTCTTTTTCTCCGAAGGCTCTTTTTTGCCTGGTGCCTCTGCTTTGTCTGTCTCTTTGCCGCTATCATCTGTAGCACTGGGTGTTACTTGCACGGCTGGCATGGGCTGAAGGGGCTTGTTGCTCTTCTTCCATCTCCGGGCTCCTGACTGTGTATTGAATTCATATATTTTGCCAGTAACTTGCAAGGGAGAAAAGACAACTGATTAAAACCACTTCCACTCTAGAAGATTTCAGCATGACAGTTCTCCTCAGGATGAGGTTGAAAAAAGAAATGTGAAGCACCTGGAAATCAGCAGAGCTGGGGAGGTAGCCCCAAGTGGGAAAGCCTCATTTCTGCAAGTGTGCATGGGGACCTGGGTGTCATGGTGGTCTCTCAGGGGAGATGCTGTTCTATCAGTAAAAAAACCTGACTCTGCATTTCAGGGAATAAGAATATTCAAAACATTTCTACTAAAAAAAAAAATGACCTTATCATCCTATACTTCTACCCATGTTACAGCTACCATGGGTCAACACATCCATAGTGCTTAGTTGTTAGGACTAGCTCTCCCAAAACTCTCGCATTTGGCCATGCTAAGCAAGGCCATCATATATGTCTGTGCCTATTTTTGCAAGTAGAGTTTCCTACTTGATGTAGCAAAACTGACTAGGAGCACAATATGCTACATACGTCTTCCAGACCACATCAGGTCACCTAGATTGACCCAAGATTTGGAGATCTGGGGTCCTCAATGAGTTCTGGCTGTATCTGTTGCTTCTCCATTTGCACAAAATGCTTTTCTCCGGGCTTGCTGTGCACACTGTCATCGATAGAATGACATACTATGAATTTTCTGTTTGTGCAAGTGTATGCTTCCCTCACGTATATAAAATACTCTTAAATTTGGGTTGTTTAGCACATATGTCTGCCTTTTTTTGTTAGAAAGGTTTTTGGCACTCTTCAGATTTTAGGGGCAATTTCTACTTGTACGTTAAAAGCAGGTATCATAGAATCATCATTTACTACTGAGCGATAGGGGGAAGAATTGCTGTGTGTCCAGTGTGATTGCCTCAGTCTAAATCACTTTCTTGGTAAACAGACAGAAAATCAGAAGCTATAGTGACACTTCTTGTAATTAAGCATTATTAACATTATTAATGTGAGATGAACAAAGACCAGTAAAGCCTGGAAAGAAACAGTGGTTACATGTTACTGTATGTTACAGTTTGGATCAGAATTAATGGTTTCTGACACATTAACACAATTTAAGCAATTAGAGATGAAACTGGATCTCAGAACATTATTTTTCTGACTGCTTACAAGACGGGTATGCTAAAGCAGCCCAGATCAGGAATCAGCTCCTGATCATCCCTCCCAATCAGATTCAGCTGATGATGTCCTGGGAATTATTAAATCCTATTTCTAAGTCACCAACACTTGAACTCCTAGGGTCTAGGATGAGCCATGGAGGGAAGGACTGAGGAGCACACATTTCTCTGCAGACACCACAAAGCTATATTGTAGCTTAATGTTTGTGTCAAGCATGACACAAACCCTATGGCTCTGGAGGGCCTTTGGATGGGCACAGATAACCTTAAGTCTGGTGTGGTCAGGTTTGCTGAGGAAGGAAGCCACCAGCTGTCCTGCAAAAAAAACCACAAAGCAGCTCTTGCAATGGCCTAATGAACATCCATGTTTAATGTACTACAAATGGAGTTACACAGTGAAAAAGTAAGAACTTTGGAGCCCATCCCTCCAGATTTCTTTATAAATAGCAGGTGGGCCTGGACTTGGGCCAAAATGGCCTTGAGCAGCTTTGCGGATGGGCTTAATTGCACAGTAGGGCCTCAGTTGTTTGCCCAAATTCTACTGAAGTCCCCCTGCCTAGTGTTTCGCATTAGCTCACGGCATCCAACAGCTCCGAGCCAGCTAATAAGAAACACGAGGTAGAGCCTTTTGTGGGGAAGTTTGGCCAGATGAATCCAATATTTGAAACAAGCCTGCCTTCTTCTGAATAATTTTTAGGCCTATTGTTTAGGACCTATTTTCGGGTCTGTTTGTTAAAGACCTATTTCAACTGTCACATTTTACCATCACCCCTCTTCCCACACTGGGGCCCTTAAACATTAGATGCAGGGTTGGGCACCCTAATGCATCACAGTGCAGGGCTCAGGCAGGGGCTGCAGTTCAGGAGGATGAGGTAAGACAGATCGACTCTTAGAAAAAGAACATTTTTCTGTAATGAGCCCTGCTGAGAGCACAGTGGCTGTCACCTGGCAAAAGGGGTAAGCACTAGACCTCCTCGGTTTCCTAGCTTTCACCTCAATTTTATTTTTCCCACCTGGTTAATCAGATATGCTCAAAGTTAGCAGCATAGCCTGGTGATGCTCTTGGTAGCTGATGCAACCACAACTGTACCTAAAAGCAAATGTTCTTCCCTTTCCTCCCCAACCAGCGATGCTCAAGCCTTAGATAAACAGCAGCAATACACTGTTGCTGTAAGGGAGGAGGTCTGTGCAGGAGTACCTCACCCACTCACCCTGCATCCAAGGAGAGGTTTAAGAGATGAAGTCAGTACATCTGTGGCTACATTAATCTCCTGGCCATTTCCCAGACATGGGAAGGGTGAAACCACGTAACCATGACAGCACCAGAGCAGACCTGAAGCCAATTCCTCCTCCCCTCCCACCTTCCTATGCCAGATCCATACATTCAGGTTTAGCACAGTAGTGAATAGTCTGACCATTGGATATGTGCTTTCAAGGGCCATAAGTATATTCTACCATTAGAAATGTTACTAGAGCACTGTCTTGATTTTTCACTGTCTGTGAAATATAGCTCCCATTCTCCTTGGAAACAGCAAACCTCAAGTATGAAAAGCAAACATTGAACCATATTTAAATCAACTAATCCAGTTTGTTTCCAGCCAAATATTCATATCCACTGTTAATTGCTTTTTATTACCTGGGTCTCTGGCTTCTCCATCAAAGACAGTGTTTAGCTTTGTCATTGTCTATGAAGAGAGACAAAATGTGAAATGAATCCTGTGCATTAGTAAAGTAAGAAGGAGGAGCAGTGACTTGGAAATGGTGACCTACATGGATGGAGGTGGATCTGTATGACCCACATATTGCATTCTTGGAGGCTGGGTTTAATCAAAACTGGCAACAAAAGCCATTTATGGTGTAGGGTGTTGCCACTAGATGTTCAAAGGAGAATTAGTAAGGTCCAACATGCTGAATGTCTTCGCGTGTGTAACCACAAGAGGGTCACCTCCACCCAGAGAAGGCTTGGGATTCCCCTCTCTGAAGAACTTGGGGAGAGAGAGTTCACTAACGAAAGTGCCTTGCAGCCTTTACGCTATTATGGCTGTGACAAAGAAGGAGGATCTAGGAGCAAAGAAACATCTATTACAGTGGAAATAACTAGGCATTTTTCTGCAAACAGCTTATCAAGACCAAATTTTTAGAGCCTGGGTACACTTGTGTACCTTGCTGGTTGTACTGAGGGTTAGCTGCACAGGTCAGCAGCTTCTCAGCAGCACAACATTGCCATCAGGGAAGATCTCCATGTGTTGCCTGATCTAGTTGAGAGGTGTCCCTGCCCATGATAGGGAGGTTGGATTAAATGATCTCTAAGGTCCCTTCCAGCCTAGGCCAGTCTATGATTCTATGGGGCACTTGTCACGCTGTCCCTGCGGCTACAGTGAGTCTCCTTGCCACTGCTCTGGGCACTCCCACACACAGGGCTCCTAGGGAGGCTGGAGAATTTGGCACTTGGAAGCAAAGGGACCACAGCATGGGTGAGCACCCCTCACACACAGTGTTGTCTCCAGATATATCAATACAATACTGACATTGGGATATGGAAGTGTTCTGGATTTGGGGGCAACCATTTTTTCCTCATCTATAATTTTTACATTCTCTCTGGCAAACAGACACCTTCCATAGAAAGGGTCCTATGATGATACTGCATGATGGGGCAGGGCAAAACTGGATTTAGTTTTGAGGCTGGCAGTACTTACCACAACCACTTCTTTTTTAGGTTTCTTCTTTTCTACAGAAAGGAAAATACACATTGTAAACAATCAGATTTTTCTGACAGTGACTATAGACACTAAAGTCAAAATTTCCTGAGACAAATAGACATTCTTCGTACTCGACTTCTGAGACATCTCAAATTACTCTTTTTTCAAAGGCTGATCCCTCATACTGTTTGAAAAGTGAACTTCTTTATAGTGTTTTGGAGTGAGAATTTGCAGCTACCAATGGCTAATCAGAAGTTCATCCTTGAAAAGTCTTAGTCCTTCAGTAATGAAGAACAATGGTTTCTTTGAAAAATTCCCATTTCTAAACAATATTAACAGATACAGAAGTTCACCTTTGGGGATATTTGAACTGCAAATGTAGATTTTATTTTCTTTTTCCATGAATGTTTGCAGTTGCAAAGCTTATGCACTCAAACATCTCAGTCTAAACTAGAGCAGGGTAGATTTAGATCAGACATTAGGAAGAAGTTCTTTACTGTGAGGGCAGCGAGACACTGGAACAGGTTGCCCAGAGAGGTGGCGGATGCCTCAGCCCTGGAACTGTTCAAGGCCAGGCTGGATGGAGCTTTGACCAACCTGACCTAGTGGGAGATGTCCCTCCCCATGGCAGGAAGTTGGAACTAGATGATCTTTAAGGTCCCTTCCAACCCAAATCATTCTATGATCTATGATTCTGCACGCTTAGAGACAAAACACGGAAGTGCTGCAAATCCAGTCAAGTAAAATTCAGACTGAAGAACAGTTTGGCTATGTGTGAATTTACCACACTATTAACTTATCCCATATGCAAACAAATACATCAGCAGTGACACAGGCATCTCAACAGCATGGATTTGTGGATGATACCCAACTAGTTGCTATGATTTCTTCTTGCTCACTCATTGCCAATTTGTTTAATGGCCTTTCTTTGGAGAACTCTGTGCCTGGCTGCCAGTGGGCTTTACAACCAGGGGTACAATACTCTGAACTGCTGCAAATGGGTCTCAGCCTGAGCAGTGATGGGAAACCTGTTCTATTGGCCTTTACTGCCCAGCATTTGGGAACCAGTTTTTCAGAAAGCACCAGACATCCATTTTTGGGAAACCAGCCAATGCTGAAATGCCCCAAATCGGGCAAACAAGAGAACAGTTAATTTTGTTGGGCTTTATTAGTAGTGTCTTTTTTTCAAGCTGGGAGATACCGATTGAGGAGAGAGAGTTGTAACAGAAGGATCTTACTGAGCCCATATGAACCATATTTGCTAGCATATAGTTAATGGGACTAAAAAGAACAAGACTGCTTTAAAAAAAGCCCTTTTTAAAAAAATGTGCAGTTTATACCCCTGCTAAGTTACAGAAACTCCTTTAAAAGCACCAATACTTTAAAACAAATCTTCAGGTACATGAAGTATTGGTGTCAAGGGAGTAAATGAAAGGATCAGAGAACAGGGAATTAGAGTAAACTCTTGAAGGTGCTGTAGAGTGATGGGATTCTTTTTTAACAAATAGCATATGATTTGCATGTGAAAAACACAGTAAATCTTTGGCATCCATTCCAGAATACCTGGTTACTCTGAATTTGGTTTTTACTTAACAGTTAATAGATTTGAAAAACAAAAGGGCCATAAAATCACTTAGGCAGGCCTCCCATAATCAGCCAGGGTTATTTAATCTCAGTACTCTTGTACTGGGTCAAATTTACATGTCTAGAAATGGATTTACAAATTTTACACTGAATGGTAAAAGAAGATACCATTGTAAAGTATTAAAATATAGAAAAGAGGTACACACCTGGAGCATTTATCCTGTAATGAAAGAAAGATTAAGAGTGTAGTTAACAAATGACATACAATTGCCTACATAAAAATATCCTGTTTTGTTCTCTTTCATGTGACAAAAAGGATATGTTTCCTTGAGTTCTGGGATTTACTTGATTTGTTTGATTTCTGGTTTTGCTTCCGTTCAAGGCCTGCATCATTTAATGCTGCTTTCAAACAGAAAAGCAGCCCTGAACATTGCTCTAACACCTCTCCAAGAAGGGATGATATTAAAAAAATGAAGTCTTACTGATGATAGAATAATGGATTTATATAGTCTGGAAAAATATATTTTCAAATGTTGTCATCTTGTTCCATCCATGGAAGAAGGTCAGGTTTTTGGATCGGAGGTGCTCAGATAGTACCTTTTAAAGTATTTGAAAGTTTGTAGATGTTTTTGAAAAAACAGAAAATGCTTTTTAATGGGTCAGCTTGGCTCCTGATTAATCACTTGCCCTATTAATAAATAATAACAATAGCTAAGCTATATGCTGCTAGATTAATTTGTCATTTTTATCACAAATTGCTAAATTCCTTGCACACACCAACTGAATTATAATCACAGTCATATATTACTTCTTTGCATTTACTGTAATTTCCAGATTTAGTTTCAAATCCTGAAAAGTACCTATAAAAATCCTCTTTTTTTTTCTTTTGTCTTTTTTTTTTTTTTTTAAATCCCAGTTCACTTAAAGAGCTGCTTATCTTTGTTTTGTGAAGCAAGATGTCAATTTAGAGGCAGTCTGGCTCCAGCCCACCGAGAAGGCAGCCAGTGGGGATCTCTGCCGCTTCCCGCAATGAACCAGAGCCGGTCCCAGGTGCTTCTGTGGCTTTTGCCAAGCACGAGCACTTAGAGGCACCACGAAGTTTTACAGATCTGAGCCTGGGTAAAACTCCAGGAAATCTGCAGAAGTTTTGCCAGAACAAAGAATCTGGCACGAGCACCAGGGTTTGGAAAAGACTCTGGGATCCGTAGCTGCAATGGAGGAAAATGCATCCAGTAACTACCTAGATGGGAGCTCCCTTGGAGCGGGAGCCAAATAAAAACCAAAAACACTTGTATTTTTGGTCAGTGCAGTCCGAGTCTATGCCTGACTGTGCTTAGCTGTCTTTAGAGGTCATAACTGTTAATTCCACTATTACCTTCAGCTAATGCTAATGATAGTAAATCCCTGAAAAAAGATGCCATGGACGTTTTTTCCTTAATTTCATATCATTAACACCAAATATCACTGTAAGCAGTTAATAGCATTTATAGCACAATGAAGGGTATAGCACAATAGCACAATGAAGGGTATACCACTGTAAAATATTCGAAGTGTAGATTTCATTATAGCTGAAAGGCCTGAGCTATCTCTGTCATTGCCAGGCGCTGCCGGGTACTTCCCCAGTGTGACATTTGGGAGGACTCACAGAGGTGCGTCGTCTGCTTTGCCTGCTGGAAGGCAGCGAGTGCGGACCCACGTCGTCAGGAGGAACCCCAGATACCCCAGCACTCCGAAGAGCAACAAACTGCCGAAGGTGATGACGAATGGCACGTACCATGCGGACTCAGAGTAGAGGTTTTCCCTTTTCGTCACAAGAGTGAAGCCAGGCTTTTAAAACAAGATAGGAAAAGTTCCTCAAAGCCGCATACTTGCATGGTTCCTGACACCGATGGCAACCTTTCATCTGGTTGAACTTCTGCACTGAGGCACCTGGCCCAAGCTTGCCCCCGGGCTTTGCAGTTGATGGGCAGAGGGAGATAGTGTCTTCTGGAGACAGTGATTCATCTCACATACCTGCCTGATGACTGCCAGGGCAGCTCAGATAACTGAGATGGACCACCAAGCTCCTGAGGCAACCAAAGGCAGGTGTAATGGAGCCCACCCATGATGCAAAAAGGAGGTTCCAGATCGTGTTTCAATGTCTTATATTAAAACAAGCATGCCTTCGTGGGGTTTAAAAGCCTTAGGTTGCCCGAGGAGCTGCGAGTACACTGGTGGAGGGTGAGCAAGTTCAGGGAATACTGAAACCATTACCAAGATAATGGTTTCTTGTTACCTAAGGCGAAACTGGAAGTAGGTCATCTTCACTGCAGTGATCATTCGGCCCACTTCGTAAGGGGAGTTGAACCCTGAGGAACTGGGTTATTGTATAAAAAGAAATGAAACTCCTTTTTTCTTTTTTTTTCCCCCCTGTTACTTGTTCCAGAAGGTAAAAACCATACTTCCTGAGCAGTTGCAATCTCCCACATCTTTCCATGTGCCAGGAGACATGTCTCTGAGCTCACACGTCACTTGGTGCTAGCAACTCATTCATTAAGGGCCCATCATGAAGCTATCCTCGCGGGGATCAGAAATTATTCATTTGCTCTACCTGGGTCATTACCTAGTGTGGTACTATTAGTTTTGATCATCTGCTGAAGTTTTTATTTCACCTTCTGCAAGACATTTGTAACCACATTGTGTATGAGATTTAGTAGGGTATTTATTTATTTCCTGTTTAAGAATAACTTTAAAACAAATCTATTTAGCCTTGCAGAAAAAAGGTATGTCCAATCCTTAGAGAAGCTCTCAGATAACCTCAAGATCACAACCACCACTTCATTCTCATTGGAACTGAAGTAACAAGTGACTTTTTGTGATGGGGCTGCTTTCCTACACTACCAGCCTTCCAGCGTCTGATTCATCAAGTTGCTGCACTAAACACATGTAAGGAGTAGTGATGGGAGAAGTTGCTGTAATGGAAGTACTCTTTTGGAAAACAGACTGAAAGTGGAAGGCTGATATCTCTGGGGAGGCAGCTTTAACGCTGTGTTATGTGGTCTAGGCTGTATTTGTGGCAAAACACGGGAAAGAAATGCAGAGTAAGTTTTGTTATTCATCTTAACTTCTCATTTCCACATCAAGTAGGGGAGGAGAAAGCTGAAAGAAGATCGTTTATTCCTTCCCAACAGGGCACTAATTAATAACAGGATTATTAATAGGTCTGCAAGTTTGGATTTTTACATTTTCGTAGCAAAGCGTCCAGATTTGCATATGCTGTTTGCAGGATACTCTGGCTCTGGTTCAGTTACCAGCAGCCCCTAGCAGATGCAGAACATTTTAGAGTGAATAGCTCTTTTACTCCTTCACCAGCATACTCATATTTTCATACATGCAAGAGAAAAAAGAGGATAATGCCATCTTGAGGTAGGCAGAAAATGGATGGACTCTGGATGATGGGGAGATGGTGAGGCAAGGGATGAAGACAGTGACCAGTGTAAGGATGGGGAGAGAGTGGCTTGTACCCTCAGGCTGTGCCACTTCTGTAGGCAGAATGAAAGCAACCTCTCTTCATGTCCCACACCAGCCTGACAGAAATCAGCTCCAAAATGAAACTGGTGAGCCAGAGGTTGCCTGGGATGGCTGTGCAGAAGAGTAGACTGTATTGCTGGGACACAGGCCCACAGGTTATACAAGGCCACCCTGACTGCTGAAAGCTGTGCAGGCTTCCAGATCATGATATGGGCGGGGAGTTCAGGAAAGACTCCATCCCACCCCTCTGGATTTGCTGTCTGAAATCTGCTGAAACCTCAGCAACACCCTGAGGCTGTGCACAACCGCTTCGGTTCGTGACAGGCAGCTCAGAGTTTTACATGATGGTGACCTCAGGTATGGAAAAAAGCCCCTTCCAAGTAGTGGGGCTTGCTTGTTGTTGCTGTTGGTTTTACCTATTTGAGCTTTGGTAGCCACAGTTTAATGTGCCCCACTGCTAAAGAAGCACATAGAAGTGCAAGGCAGCTGGGCAAGTGAATAGCCATGAATAAAAAAAGGCAGTGCAAAATGCATGAGGTAATTTTGAGGTTCCAGGAAAAGGTTAACCTCTGCTCTTTCCTTGTTAATAAAGCTGCCAAAATCTTTAACTCTCCACTTACATAGCAGTGGCAGCGTGCCCAGTCCTTTGGCTACTTGCCCTTTTTGTTTTAGAAACTAAATTATAAAACATATGTTCTGACTCTGTATCTGGGACCAGTCCTTCATGACACTGAGCACATCAACACCTTCGGCTTCAATGTAAGACCACGGGACTCAGCACTTCCCAGGATTTGACCCACTGTATTTTTTTGCCCTCCTTTTGCATACATCTACCCTCTTTTCTTCACCCCCATGGAGATTAGTCCATAAAAGAAATTAAGAACTGGGCATAAATTTTGGCAAACTTACAGTTGTGTTAATGACAGTAGTTGGGTCTGGAATAATTCTGATGCTTAAAGTCACCGTTCCAGTTTTAATTAGGTGTGCAGTTTTGGCCCTGGCAGATAACAAATTGTCATCTGTTATATAAACGCACAGTCTGTAAATCCAGTTTGTATCAAGTCCACTCTCATAGTCAAATCTTGATGCAAGAATCAGCCGAGATATGTTGGAGCCAGCACTTGGTGAAAAGGTGAAATGATTGTTCACGTTACCTGCAAAAAAACAACACCAAAATTCCAAAAAATTACTTTAATGCCACATTAAAATAAATGCATGAAACAAGAAAAAGATCAGTTTCTCTTGGCAACTTGTTATGGATCACTATACACCTAAGAGTGGTGAAATATTATTGACAAGAATGGCTCCTCAATCTTCCTGATACCATAAAAAAATATTAAAACCAGTTTAAAACAATACACTCATCAAAGTGTTAAAATATAGAATAAGACCCTCTAGGGAGACAGCTGAAAGGAGGCTGTGGAACACTTTGGAGCCATAAAGCACACAAGAGGTCACCTGAGTCCTTACAGCCTGGAGAGCACCCAGAAGCAGCAGCACCCAGCCAGTGTGAAGACCCTACTCCATTGCAGGGCTCATCCCTCTAATGGAGTGTCCTTGGGGTGGCCTCTAGGCCACATGAACACCACCAGCATCTTCAGAGGCCGCTCCAGCCTCTCTCCATGACTTCTGCATCTGCCCAGAGGCAGAGGCCTTTGAACAGGTTCATTGGAAGAGAACTAATGGCTTGGGAACATTAATCACCTCCAGGGCTTTGTCTGCACCGTGGGGGCAGAGAGGGGATCTCAGTGGTACTGGCTTCCCAGCCCTCATTTTCTATCCATAAAGCTGGAGATGTGTTAGCAGTCTGGGCTGTGGGCAGGCCAGCCCCAGCTGTTTGGCTCTAGACAGATCATACATGCAAGAGATCAGAGCCGTGGGAAGGCACCAAGCACCAAATGTGCTTTGGTTTTGCTCTTGTTGCTCCTTGAAGTGACCTTGAAGGCCACGTCTATCGTACAACACAGACTATGGGCTGCTCTGTGGCTTGGAGGCCAACTGCATGGCAGAGCTCACATCTCCACAGCCCAAACTGGACCTGCGGTAAGACCCTGACCCTCTTTTTATGCTCACAGCTTTTTACTGGCAAGTGGACAATCTGGTCCCACCTTCTCAGCAGTCACCACAGCAACAAAGAAAGGAATTGCCCCATGAGGAAGCATTCCCTTTTATAGGAAGCTGAGTGTCATCCCATACCACTGCAGTCCTCCAGGTGGATGCAGCTGATTACTAGGTTCAAACACGTGTTCTTAAAATGGGGCTTTAATGTGTACAGCGTGGACTAAGGAAATGCAGGTTTGCTCAGTTGTTTGGAATGGTGTACCAGCATCTAGAGGTGAGTATGCAGAGAAACAGAATCCATCATTATCATTCCAGTTTATTCTGCTAAAGTCCTTGTCAACTGTGTAATTAGTTGCCAATTAATTAATGTAGCAGGCAACCCAGCCTTGCAAGGGAATGGTTCTAGGGGATAGCACCAGTAGCCAGCTTGTGGAGAGACATCTCTTTTGATAAGCAGCAAAATAATGACGTGCAAAACTTACGGATCACAACTCACTCACCATGAGAAGTAGGACATAAAAATGTGCTAGATTTTTACTTACAAATCTATTTACTAATTTTTACACTGCTTCCAACTCACACACCGTGACAGAGTACCTTCATTAATGAAGTAACGGAAAGATCTGGGATCAGAATCGCGATCTTGACATTCAATCCTGAAGCCATTAATATTGGTCCCAACAGCTAAGCTGACTGGGATTTGAAATGAATAGAATCTGGGTGAACAAACTGGTTCTTCATCATTTACTTCCAAAACATTGACAGTTACCTGAAAGAAAAGAGCAGTAGGCAAGCTGAAGCTCCTCCACTGTACTGAGTCAGAATTTTATGAATTTCAGAAATGGTTTGGCTCTGCCCATTTTGCTGTTTTGATCAACAGCAACTGAAGAGCAATGAATCTCCATTCCAATCATTTTCTACCAGAAAATGCCTGTGATCATTTGATTTTCAGTTCTTCTTGTGATCACCACTCTTCTGGGCTGAGGTTCCTTAGCCTAAACCATCTTCCAAAACTGTAGGATGTTCAAGCTGTTGCGTCTATTTAAATCACCTTAATTGTGTCATAGTTAGAAAAGGAAATAATAATAGTACCACGTATTCATTAAACTTGCTTTCAAACCTCTCAAACTGATTTGCAGTCATTAGTTAGGCTTCTTAGCATATTCAATAATAATTCAGAGCATGATCCGTTGAAGGAAGACTCCTTATAGACTGTTCCCAGTGAGAGAGAAACGCTGGTAACAGCCTTCTGCATGGCTGGGAGAACCCTGGGTAGCACTAGATTTCCTTCTGTCAGCTGGGATTAGCTGGCTGAGAGAAAAAAGTTACCCTCCTCAAAGCTCTTTCCTCTAATGCCTGTTGGCAACAGATAAACTTGTCATCATTAAAAGTTCGTGATGCTAAATTTTCCTTAATCATCACCTTGAAATACTATAGGTGAGAAACGGATTAAGTACCTCCCACTCAGCTTCTCTAAGGGTGGTGCTTGACTGGAATAGAAAGCAAGCCTAAGCATCTGTATCCTCCGCAACAGATGTGTGAAAATATAATGTAAGGCAGCCATGAGGGAGAAGATGTTAAAAGGAGTAAAACCAAGTCTGTGTGTGAAGGACACTGGGATTCTTTGGAAGAAATGACTATAAAATACCTTCACGGATATGACTTTTATATTTTCTATTTCTGAATAGAACAGGTCTGGGCAGCAAACTTGAGCACAGTCCTACTCTTTAATGTTATTGTGGTCCCTGGCATGCTCTTGGCTCCTGCCAGATAACACCATCAAGGACAAAAGTAGATCATGGTCAGGGAAGGCATGTGTAGGATTCATCTCCAGTGGTCCACAAGGGCACAGCTGTACTGGGCTGGTCCCTCTGACATTACCCCAAGGGTCTACCCAAGCCTTCATCCCATCCTCAAGGTTTGCAGCACATCCCCTCTGCCCCACCCTACAAAACCACAACTCTGATGGGCTGCAATACGATTCTCACATTACTTTGGTCACTTTGCAGTTCAAAAAGGTTACTTACAAAATCAGAGTATGTTTGAGGGCCAAGGGGCACTACACGGGGTCCAAAAAGGACATAACACTAAGTATAGCTACAATTAGGTTGGGCTACCTGGCCTCAAGACCCTGTCGTTTTTCTATTTTCTGGTATATATGTAGCCGTAAAGAGTATCTTAAATTGTCTAGAGCACAGGAAACAATTTCACTGCCCAGGTAATATAGGAATGAAAGACTGAGAAACAAAATGCACAGAGCTAAAACTATAAAAGTATTACTTCAATCCTTTTTGCAATAAATAAATCAAGACTGAGTGAACACCATCTCTTTCATGTGGCAGAGTTACATATTAAACTCTGTGCAGGGGTGGACTTGCCTTTTACAGAGCAAAGTGCTTTGCTTAATGTCTTACCGGTCTTGCCAGAAAGAAAAGAGAAAAAAGTAGATAAAGGGTGAGTAGAGTGGATTTACTCACAGATGCTGTTGTAGTCTTCTCTTGGTCTGAGGCTTGTACTGTTAGAATGTGTTTCTGAGTTGTTTCATAGTCTAATCTAGCTAAAATCTTCATATCTCCTTTGGTTGGGCTGATCCAGAAGATGTTTGTATAATCCCTGGTGCCTCCTCCAGCTACAATGGAATAAGTGATGACACTGGGTGGCCAGTCCTTGTCGCTGGCACTCACTCTTCCAATGCTGGATCCAACTGAGACACAGAAAATCCATTATTTCATTAACATTTTGAGGAAAACAAGGTACAGATTACTTGTTCCAAACAAAAATTGATAAAACTGAACTAGAGATTTATTTTAGAGTTTTTCACCCCAGAAAAGTAAAGCAAAAGTGTGAGAAATACCAGTTCTCAATGCTGTGCTATGGCTTCCTGGAGCATGGGTTTGCCTACTAGCAATGAATGCCGAAGTGCAAGGAGTCTGTGGAGAGCCACAACAGAAGTGCTCCAGCACTGAGGGACTCCCTGAGCCCTGCACTGGTGCACACAAACTCCAACCTTGCGGCAGCCTGAGCACTGGCTAGGTTGAAAGAACAAGGCTCTTTGTCTGCCTTGAAAAGCCATTGTTGCTGTTCCTACCGAGGTGTTTGAAAAGCAGTTTGAACCAGCTTCGTGCTGAGCATTTATGAAGTAAGCTGCAAACAGCAATTCTGTCGACTGTGAGAATGAAGACAGGACTGCACACGCCCATATCTGCAGACATTGATTCTCTGCAATATTGATTTAGGGATATGCAGGGTGAATATGCAGAGCAAGGCAAGAAGATGTAAATGAAGGGGTTGGCTTTTTTTTTTTCCCTTTCTTGACCCTGTGAGCCCCAGCCCTACTGCAAACTGTTGGCTCCTGTTTGGTATGGCAATAGCAAGCATCCTGCTAATGTCAACTCAGCCCAAAACAAAATGCAGCCTGAGTAGGAAAAAACATATTATTCCTCTTGATAGGCTCAGTATCCAACAAAGTTCTGTGGCTGACACAGAGAGTTTCACAGACATACTCATGTCACAGATGGGTTTTGAGTGTTGTATTGCTAAGATACACATCAGTGCTATAAGGAGACACAGAGAGAATACGAAATGCTAGGAAATTCACCATAGCATGCCCACTCGGAAACAGCTTAGAAAGCCAAGCTCCGTCCATGCTCCACAGAAATAAAGAGTGGGCAAGAACAACAGGCTGCTGAGCAATGCAAGATGCTGGCCTTAAGGTCAGGGTCCTCTGGCTGCCGAGCAGCCGTCCTGTGCCTCCTCATACTCCCTTCCTTGCTCTCCTGGCAATTTGGCTTCGGGAGGAGACAGGGCTGTCTGGGTTTTTCTGCCAGGTGGACCATGCTGGGAGCCAACCCCTCCCTGTCCAAGCCTCCCCAGTCTCCCCAGCTCCCTTCCAGACTATGCACCCACAAATGAGCTGCAGCTCTGCTGTACTCAGAAGTACATGGCACCTTCTCCATGGGGCACGCAGGAGTGATTTTTGCAGACTTGTGGACCTCGGCAGGATTCTCCTGATCAGAGAAGGGAGAAAATAGAGAGCTGAGGGTAAGGGCTGGAAATCTGGGCTTGCTCCTTTGCCCATGGCAGGGGAAAGCAGGGTGTGAGCAGGATGTTGCGACTGCTTGAAGCATGGCTTTTCCTCCCCGCCAGCCCCTGCCTCCTGGCTTAGCCAGAGGGACACAGAAGCACCAGAGCCCACAGGTCTGCTGATCACAGCCATAGCTGCCTTTGCCGGTGCTTTAAAGCTACCCTGGCCATAACAGTTTGATGAATTCAAGCAGATACTAGGTTATCTGGCTGCTAAATCTCTTGGAGTTTCAGGGGCGGCATCACCATGCCTCAGATGCAGTGAAGCAGTTGGATGTCCTCCTTAGTGACGTGGCCATCGGGGCAGGTTTGTGAGTAACAGCAGCCTGGGGCAGTGTTGGACGTGCTGGAGGACAGGGCTGCTGTTCAGAGGGGCCCGGCAGGCTGGAGCTACAAACCAGCAAGACTTGTGGAGCTCAGCATGGACATGTTGTGTACCTGGGACAGAACAAGCCCAGGCATCAGTGCAGGCTGAGACTGACTGAGCAGGCAGCAGCTCTACAGGAATGGACCCCAGGCCATGGTGGAGAAGTTATATACAAGTCACGAGGCCATGCTTGGGGGAATGAAGACAGCATACCCAGTGTATTAACAAGTGTGTTACCAGCACATGGTCAAAAGGGACTAATCCACTCTGCTCAGCACTCATAAAGCTACCTGTGGCACATTTGCAGTCCCAGGTACAAGAGAGATGCTAAAAAAATGGAGAAAGGCTGGCGAGGGTTAAGCAGAGGATGTGGGAGGAGAGGCTGGTGGGACTGGGTTTGTTCAGGCTGGAAAGGGAAAGAAGAGGGGAGATTTAATTGCTGTGTTTCACTACCTGAAGGGCAATAATACAGAAGACCAAGATACATTCTTCTCAGAAAGCAGCAGTAAAAGGACGAGAGAGAATAGACACAATCTGCAACATAAAAAATTCCAGCTGGGTCCAAGGTAAAATTAACTGGAATAAAGGTCACTCAGATGGAACAAAGAGCCTGTGGAGTCTCCATCCTCAGAGATTTTCAAAACACAACTGGATGAGGCCCCAAGCAACCTGATCTGGCTTTGAAACTTAGCCTCACCTTGAGCATGAGTTAGACTCAAGATTCCCAGTGGTCCCTTACACCTTCTGTTTTTCTCTGACTCTAGGAAGTTCAGAATGAGACTCAAGATTCATCCAGCATATATCTAATGTACCTCTTATTTTTACTCAGCCAAGAGAATAAAGCCAGAAAGTGAGATCCTCGGGGAGAAGGCCTGTGTTTGGTAAATCAGGTCGTATGAGGGAGAGGCTGAAGCTAGGGAAGATGCCATTCCCATGCTGACTGCTCCACACACTGAGTGGCACAGCACAGAGGTGGCTTGTGGTCGCACCTGGCACACCAGCATTACCAAGGAGACAAGGTGTGTGGCACTGCTCTTAAAAACCATGAGATGAAGGACTCACCAGGGGACAGGAAGAGTGCTGAGATGGGAATCAAGCATGTGAACAGTTTCAACAAATTCAGTTTCAAGGCCACATTTGCAGCCACTGGTCCTGGGGTGTTGTATGAATGGGAAGGACCCTGGCTCAGGGTACAAGGAGCTGCTCAGATTGCCGTCTGGCCGAGCCTCCCCATCTGAGCACTCCCCTTCCACCCCATCCTCAAGGCACTCACTGCACCCAAGGTGAGCCGGATCTAAGGGGACAGTGGCCTGGCCATCCTGCATCATGCCCAGGCCAAGGGAGTCCTCACTCGCCTGCGTCAGTTTGTAATGGTTTCTCTGCACCATCGCAGTCCCTCCAAAAGGCTAATTTAGTGAGAGCAGAAAGACAGTCTAAAACAAGAAATCTGAGTTCAGTTCCTGGCTCCGTCACAGATTTCTTGTGCAATTGCTGAATTTGTCTGTGTTTCAGCTTCCATCTGTACAATTGGAGTTGTTGCCAGTTTTGTCTATTTAAGGGTAGTAGGTGTTGTATGGTGAGACCCTGGCTGAACTGAAACTTTGAGCCATTCTCCTCATTCAAACATGTGAAAATGCATTTAGACCAAAAAGGAACTTATCAACACGACATTATTTCTATCATGTAGATGCTATTTACTGTACCTTTAGTAATTTCTGAAACATTAAATTCATACGATAAATTACTAAAGACTGGAAAAAATTCATTCACTGGCTTTATCCTGATGTAAATGTAGATGATATCTGGAAATATAACAGAAGATTAAATCATGGTTAAGTATGGCTGTGAAATTTTCTCATGCATATATTCAAAATACATATGGTATTCCTTTCTCCATGCTGTTACAGAACAGGAAAATATCAAAAGAAGTGTAAAAAGGATACTTGCCTGAGTAGTTAGGATAGGCAATATCTTGCACCCTGACAGTCAAAGAATAAACTTCAACCCCTAGATTAGCTGGGTTTTCTAAATCAATACTTTCAGTCATCTAAATAAAAAGAAATGCAATTGTATTTATACTTCCTTACATAATGTCACAATACACGTGATGGCAATTACTTTTTTTCAGCATTCTATAGGTGTGGTCTCCCCCCTGAATATATAGAATTGCTCTGCAGAGTAATATTGGCTATTAATCAATTAGGGGATTGAAGTCCAGGTTTTTCTGTGCTCTAGTGTCTATTGGAAATTCAGAACACTTTCTTTCTGCCAGCAAAATCTCTTCCCCTTAAGTGCAGGAAGTTTTATGATTTGGATCATAAGGTCTTGGCCTTTTACCTAGTTAATTCGAAGCTCATGTAATGACCTGGCTATTTACCTTGCCCTTTGTTGACTCAACAAGAATCTGCTGTTGCTAAATAGTAGTAGTTACTCCCTAAGCTCATGCCTTCAGACATCTATTAAGGGTATCAGGTTCAGCCATGAGTGTTTATTCAGGAATGCAGTTGTTACTAAATGGTAGCTCATACAGATTTAAATCTTAATCTTCTGAACTCTCCATCTTTCCTTAGGAGCCTCCTGAACTTTGGGGCAGCAGGACTGCATAGGCGTCCTCTGTTAATCCTCTACAGGGAAATTCCTTGAGGAATAGGATGCTTGAGACAGCCTGTTACATTGCACATACATGGTGATCAAAGGGCTGACAACAATCAAATCCTGTGCAGCAATAAATTTTCTTTTTATGTTGGCAGATGAAGCAGCTAAGGGCAGTGCTCATTGACATGTATACCTCAGATCAAAAATTAAAGTAAGCCATACAAAATCATTTTGCTGCTCCTGTAGCACTCATATCTTTTTGGACAGAATGCCTGTTTTTTGCTATGTTTCCCTTTTTCTGTAGTTGTCCATATTTCTTTTTAAAGCAATGAAACGCCCACCATTGCACATGTCCAGCAGCTGGTGCGGGTTCTGGCCAATTCAAAAATGCCAGCAGCTACCAGCATAAGGAACCCATATTTTGACATGGAAAATCACACAAGTGCAAGTCCCACTACACTTTTGTGAAAATGTGGTTTTGCAATTCTGACCAATGAAGCTGGGAAGTAGTTACTGAGTGTGGGATTTCTCAAGTGTTTCAATTCTTCGTGCTGAATAGCAAGGACCTTCCACAGTCTGTCATGAATAAATGGGCTTGAAATGGCATCAAATTTCTCTGTTTATCCTTATCAAAGTTGGTGCTTCACACTTCCTAGAAAATGATATTTTTTTCCCAATCATTATCTAACACATTTATTTAAAACTGGTGAAACCAGTTCTCTGTTCATCAAATTCTGCAGAATCCATAGAAAGGATCCTATCAACGGGTATGCAGTTTGCATCCAGTCGAAACAGACAATCTCTACATCATACCCACTGAGACATGAATTATAGCAATTCTTTGGTTTTTGTATATGTAATTAATTCAAAGAACTCATAGTATTTTATAAGTTGACGCAAACTACTGACCATAAGTCTTCCAGACACAGTAGGCTCCAGAGCGAACTTATTGCTTCCAAAACCAGATAATCCAGTGAAATTAAAACGATTGTTTGATGGATCAACATCAATATCTTTACAGTAATTTCTAAGATCAAGAAGAAATGTCCCAGCAACCATATTTTCATTTGCCTCTTTCCTGTTAAAAACAAACATGTTTCCCATCAGAGCAAGTTATATTTCTCCTCTTGAGCTCTTTGTATATTGCATAGGAAAATAGAGAATTCTGTTTCTTTTCTAAGCAAAATCCTAAATCTAAATAGGCAACAGTTGCTGAACCAACCCAGAATCCAGTCTATATGCTGTGGTGGACAACAGGCCTGCAATGGGCAGGACATAAATACTTAGCCAGATCCAATCCATAAACACAGAAACTCAGCTGAACTTCAGAAGCTGCCAGGAAATCTCAATGTTCAAGATTAGTTCAATTAATAATTACTATTTTAAAACATCTTTACAACACTCATTTCTTCAGTGTGTTATAATGTTCTTCTGATGAGAAGCTCAATCTTTTCTCCTTAACTAATAGCAGGACTATTCTGCTGTTTTGTGAAAGTTGCACTTTTAGCCCCACTGTTGATAGCAAGGGTCCCTATGATGCACATGATGGAATTGGGTGCAGAGGGTTTCAATTAATTTTTTTTGAAATTGAGATTTAAATTTAAAAAAAATGAAGATCCAAAACATCAGTAAATCCTGTTTTTGTTCCCTTTTGCAATCCCTAGAAGACTAGTTCTTTATTTGATTGCATTTTGCCTTCTTCAGATCAAAAGTTAAGCTCATGAGATAAAGAAGAGACTGTTGTATTATTGTAATGGATGTTATAACTAAGCAGTGCTCCAAAGGACTGTATTCTCTCCCTGTCAGTGTGAAAGACTATGTGATTTAAACGCAAGACATTTCTATGAGATAGTGAAAAAGCAATTTAAACAGATACCCAGTAACTGGAAACTCCTCATAGCATGAGTCCTTAGCTCGAGATGCTGGATTTTTATCTGCAGGACAGTCAAACCACCATAAGTGCACCTGAAGAACTGCACTATGCAGTGTGGTGTACCCTGAAAGGTCAGAGCCCAGGTACATAAGACACTTGAGATGGACAATTTTGACTTCAGCCTTTCTATGGCACACTTCATCTGTAAAATGAAGTCAATGTTATGTCCTCATCTGCAAATATAAACCACCTGACCAACACAAAGCTCTCAGGGCATTCATAGCCGTAACAAAGTCCATGACTAAATTGCTATGCACAGAGGACACTGCAAAAGATGATCCGTACTCTGAAGACTTTGCAGATTGCATTAGGCAAAAACCATGCAGGACACCAAGGAGAGATTAAGAAGAGAAAATCAGGAAGTTTAAAATGAAACTCCAGAACTGACTGGCAAGCTTTCCCTGCTGAATGATTCCCAGCAGTATAGCATAAAGTAAGAAAGGAGGATCCTGGATCTGTATAGGTCAGAAAAGCAACTCTATAACATGTGATTGTGATATCCTAAGGGTTTAGGTATCTGAAAGAAATATATAGAAATTACTTGTGTAAAATTTTTAGTCCAAATTTCCAGGTTGAACATGTCAGGAAATTGAGTTTTGTGCCCTTAGGCTCCTAGAGTGAACACTAACCTTTAAAGGCTAATGATAAATGTCCATTTAACGTCTAGCCATGGGTCTGGGAACTGATGTGCTCTAGACTGCACACTGGTCTGGGACAACAAGGCAACACTGAGGCAATGAAGTGCTTCAGTACCTGAAGGTAGAAGGATTGCATTCTGGTGGATTGTCATTGATATCATCAATAACGATTATGATCTCCATTTCGCTGGCGTGACCATTGCTGGGACTGTCCTCCACTCGAACTGTCAATGAGATGTTAGGATGGAGCCGCAGTGGAAGGGCATCTCGGTCAATCCTCCCAGTCACCTGCAGCACTCCAGTCACTGGACAGAGAGCAGACAGAAGTCAGATATTCACCGCGGGGGGAAGTAACGAACACTCATGGGGTACATGCGGGAGGACAAGGTAGCTCAGCAGACAGGCAACAGAATAAAGTCTCCTAAAACCATGGCTGATTTAGTTATTTTTCAGAATGATACAAAATGTCTCTGAAAGTTCTGTGTAAGACTTTAATGGACAGATGCTCATTGCTCAAAAATATGCCATAGGTGGCCTCAGCAGAGGACTTGAAAGCAGTTAGGTTTGCCAAGATCTGGTGCAAGTCAGAGTTGAGTGCACTCGCAGAGCATCAAGGACAAAGAGCTGCTAATGCCTGTGCTGTCCTTGCTCTCTAGCTAGTAAAACTGCTTTGCTTTCTACTATCATTGTTCAAGCATCCTTCAGCACCTCTAATTCCACTCACACTCTTAACTGTGACAGACCACACCAAGTGCACTGGTTAGCCATTTGCTTAATTTATTTATTTTTTTCACTTCTGTTAGCCTCTGGTCAAAACCAGAAGGTTTTTGTGGCGCAGCACAATACTGGCGTGTGCACCCCAGCAAATAGGAGGAGATAGGAACAGTATGAGAAAGAGGACTCTGTTGTATTGCCTTGCCTCAGGAGAGTCATGAACCAAGCAATGAAGCTGAGCTGCAGATCTGCTGTGCACCTGAGTGCTAAAGCAGATTTCAGGCAGGAGAGAGGACACTGTGGTCTAACTACATGCACTGGTTTCAAGAGGCCCAGAAGGGTCACAGCAGTCCTCAGGGATTAAAAAGAAGGCAGCTAATCTTTCTTCCACCCAAGAGATTGTCACCCTCTAGCCATAAGTCAATATTTGTCAAGAAGTCACCTTTGTTCTACTTTATTCAAGATATCTTACTGAATCTTGGTCAGCTGAGCAAAGAATTTGACCCTTGTAATGTACTGAGCACTTCTTATTTCCAAGGGTAGCCACAGAATAAAGTACACTAATTTAAAACTAAGGAAAAAACATTTTCTCCAAAGTCTTTCTCTTTTTTGGGGGGGTGTCAGAAGGCACTGTTTGTTTTTTATTTTGGTCTTACATGGATTTATGAAGAAATATCTGTTAGGAGACTGGATGCTGTAGAAAAGTCTGCTGAGAGAGTCTTCATCATCAGGATCTTTAGCTGTCATATTGGCAACAATGGTGCCCAGGCTTTGCTCTTCTGGAATCCTGTAAATTCTTTGTCTTCTATAAGATAAAACAGAATTCAACAGAGCACATCTGTGTTTGCAAGGGCAGCTGCTTACAGACTTAGCTGAGCAGCCAGTTGTAGCAGCAGAGCCATGGCCATGTGGGGCTCAGAGATGGCTCCTTGCATGTCGGGGCAAATATCCCAGTCCCTGATTCTGCCAGCTGGACAAGTAGCAATAGCTGAACTGGTACGTGGTCACAAAGCATGACAGAGCCACTCCGATAAGTGTCCTTCCCCTGCAACTTTTTTCACGGTAAAAACAATTTGACTTTCACAGAATTATAGAAGCTGAAGATGGAAGAGGCTGATAAGTCATGCGGTCAATCTCCCCAGAGAGTCACCAGCTTGTAAAGCCACTTGCTTTAATTCCTTCATTTTGCAAGTGAAAAACAAAACCATAGAAGCAGTAATGTAATTAGTTGTCTTTTGAAATGAATGCTGGAGGCTTTTGGGGGACAACAGTGTTAGTAAAAATTTGAGTTGCCCTTGCAGTAGGTGGAGGCAGGGAGGAGCACTCCTGTGGGTGCCCAACAGATGAACATGCTGCAAACTCCCAACAACATCTGTCTGTCTGATTCATTTTACACGGAGAAAATGGTTCTTTACTGCTGTTGTTTGGTATGTCGGTGCTCCCAAATTTCCCATGAATTAAGTGAGTTTTATAGCTCAGATATAGTCTGGCAGGCAAATGAGCAGGATTGCTTATAATGGTTGCAGTTGCATGTTCGCATAGGTACGCAGTCAGATGATTACAGTACTTAAACCACATGCAAAAAGCAGGCATGGGCAAGCATACAAAACTAGTGCAAGGAATTTATGAAGGCTGGTTTGTACTACTGAAACACACAAACACACAAATATCTGCTGCTTCTAGAAATCAAATGGAGCTGAAGGTTCTCAGGAGTTCAGAAATGCATTAGGAGTATGTTTCAAGACTGAATAATTTTTGCACATTTTAATTTGTCTAATTGATTAGTCTGTAGTCCACAGCGTAGGAAAGCATGAGCCCTCCATTGTCCCCTGAAAACCAACATCATGGAGCACTTGGGGCACTTAGCAGGAGTTGGTTCTGTCTGCAGAGACAGAACAGAAGATCCCACGCCTCCAGGTCTCCACTTGCAATTTTAAAAATGGCTGAGAAGACATGACATCTTCAACTACTTTATCAGCTCATATGAAAAGAGAAGAACATACAGGAGAGAAATCACATAGGGTTTTCCCAGTACAAAAAACTAAATTATAGCCAGTGGAGTCAGTGTATATATTAAGTTTCTATCTCGCTCTTGGCATTGGATCTTTTCCTTTCTTGTTCTCATGTTGCCTCCAGAGTCACTCAGATACAAAACAAATAGCAACAGATTTCCTCCACTGCTACCAAAAACGTCACCCAAAAATGCCTCTCTGATCACTGGGGAATAAGAGAGCAGCTCTGACTGGTTTGGGATCAAAGTAGGAACCCCCTACAGGCACAGGGACTCTGTTCCGACCTCTCTGCGGACAGCAAACTCACCACAGCTCCACCTTCACAGCACTACCAGCCCTCCTGCACCCTGTGCAGGCTGTTGTCCTGTCCCCACCAGATGTCTCAAGAAGAAGCGGGACATTACTGAGCACATCCCCGCAGCACTGAGTACTAGTACAGCTGGGGAGGAGTTGGGGCCACTTCCTATGAAGCTACGTCTGGGCTGTGTCCTGCTGTCCATCTGTCTGCCACCTGCCAGTGGTTTCTTCCAGAACAGTTCAAGCAGACCTTTTAGGCACTGCAATGTAATTATGAAGGAAGCATATGTTTGTTTTCTTGTCCCCTCCTCTGTTTTCCTGACTCCACAAGTTTTCCATTGATTTTAACAGCCAGAATTTCAAAAGGCAGAATGCCAATGTAGTGTTGTGAACACCAAAAACAGATGTGCTTGCATATACTATGGGAACAATTAAAAGGACCCTTTGAAACTCTGTTTTTGACAGCTTTGATCCGGAGAAAATAAAGAAGGTTTGCTAACTCGTCAAGTTTCTCCAGCTCCCACCCCAGCACTAATTATTATAGTGTCAGAAAGAACGTAGCCCCAGCATGCAGCTCATATTTTAGCAGGGGAGAGGCCGTATGTGCATATTGAGGACAGACTATGAAGTGTAATTTAATCTAAAGTTCTTTACAAAGTGAGCTGTGATTTTCAGTCTGCAGTATCAATCTAAAAGGGAAAAGATTCAAACAAATATCAGACCTTGTTTGTGTCATATGAGAACTGAGCCTTGGACCTTAGGTTGTTCTGGATGCTCAAGTCTCCACAGCTTTCACTAATTCAAACAAGTAGATAAATATTTAAAAGAGCCCCTTTAGCATTCCAGACATAAGGATAAATAAATAGAAATGGCAGCATTTGGAGGAAATAATCAGACTAGAACACAATGTGCAAATGTTGGCACCAGGAAGAGGATTCCTCCTACTTGTAGCAGTACAGTAACATAGAGTGAGCTGTTAACTTACTGATTATTGCAAACATGAGGTTCATGTATTAAATAAGTAGCAACAAAAAAATCCCCCGTGTCTGTTTCTAACTTTTCTAACTTTTCATTCTTATATTTGTTCAGAAGCCAGCAAGGTCCAGATCCTTGGCCTCAACCCAGGAGCTGTGCATTGCTCTGGCTCCACGGAACATCCAGAAGATTGTTCCAGACGAGCGGCTGGAAACCTCTTGGGATGGCCCAGGTGCTACACTCTCTTCTCCTTTGCATAAATTGCAGGAGAGTAGCCATTGTGAATACTCTCAGCAAGGATCTTGTAGAGCCTCAGGATCAGAAGACATAGAGTGTCTTGACTCCAGTCAGTGCCTCATGCAAGTGACAAAGATAAATCAATAACTGGATCAGGTCAACTGTCATAACTGTCAAGCTCCTGCTTCAGAAACAATTGTCCATCGTGCTTTCCACCACAAAACATGCACATGTATACCCTTCCCCATTTTCCCAGAATTTCAACAATATTCCTGATTCCAACTAAAACTTTATTAGATTTCAAAAGCTATTTCTGACTTGTGTGTTATGACCCAATTTCCTGCTTGTGACACAGTAAGAGACAACGTTTCAAAGATCACCAGGATTGTTTACAAGTGTGTCCGGGAAGAAGAGGAAGACAGATAAAAAGTGAGACCTTTTTATGTCTAGACATTTCTGCATGAATAAACATCATTATGGTGAAATGCACATCTGCATGAGGGTTAAATTCGCTATGATTGTATTCACACAGGGTAAAATGCATCTCCTTGCCTGAACTTGTCCAAAGGTCTTTGTGTGGATTTAACCTCTCTAAATGCTAACAAGTACAACAAGCTTGATTGGCTGTTCTTAGCATGAAGGCAGAACCTGGAAAACTGAAACTATTAAGAGTATAAATAAGAATAAAAGAGGGAAATGAGGGCAAAGCTTTCCAGTAAAAGAACAGGAATCATAAAACTAAAATACTGGTTTAAGTAGTACTTTGTTGTTATATATACTTGCCCTTACGTTGTACCCTCTCGGTGGTGCCAGAGCAATAAAGCTGAGAAAACATCCATTTTTTGAGTACAAAGGAAGTTTTTTCACTCACGTGGTAAAGTAAGGTCTTTCATCATCGACGTTAACTATATTTATATTCACCGTTTTAGTTGAGTTGAGTCCGTCTGGATCTGTCACTGTTATGTTTAGAAAGTAACTGTTAAGTAAGAAAACAAAACAAGAATCATTCTGTGGCTATCCAGGAAAACATGTCTCTGCCTTCTGTAAGCTAATAGACCACATGAATAAAATACATTCTCACCAATGTGGATCATACTCATAATCAAATTCTTTTGTGGAAAAAATGGCTCCGCTTTCCAAGACCAGGAATGGCACTGATGCAGGGAGCAGCGAGTACTGAAATGAAGAGATCCAAGAATTAGTCCGTGTGTCTTGAAACATCCCTCCACTTGTTCCTTGCCTTGTAGAATGAACGGACTCAGTTACAGCACAGCATTTGTCTTAAACTCTGTGTAGTGGGAGTGCTGGCATACAGATGCCAGCACAAGCCCTGATCATCTGAGCCGAAGCAGCTCAAACTTTGTTGCATGGGTTTTGCTTGCCGGCCAGTGGAGAGTCACAGACACTGAGCTACATTAAAGCCTTCATCATTTTTTACCTCTGAGAACTACAGGCCTCCAATGAAAATCTAATATAGAGGCTGGTCGGCAGAGTCACAGCACCATAGACAAAAATTGGCTTTGTGGTGGCAGCAGAATACAGGCACAAAGGAGAAGAGAGAGAAGAAGGAGTGAGGGACATAAGAGCTGTGGATGAGGCAAAGAAGTTTGGGGGTCCAGATGATGGGAGACGGCAAATAGGGGATAGTGGACTTTCACAGAGTACATGAGGGTGTGAGGCTGAAGGATGTGCACAACAACCCAGCGTTAATGCATCTGCTCAGCGACGGCATGTAGCAGCAGCCACTTTGTGTGTTGCACAGCACGGATGGGAACCACACCAGGGCACGGCTGTGGGAGGGAGCTGAGCACCCCAATACCACACACAGTAAAGAGAAAGGCCATGAGAGAGCTACTAAATAACCACCATGTCCTCCCTGCTATCTTCCAGGTGCCAAGCCATCACCAATAACCCTCCAGGACATTTCTTTTGCTAGTGTAGGTGTTAATGATACCCATGAAGTCTGGCACGTGCAACATCAGAGGGTCATGCACCATACAAGTTATCTGCAAAATCCACTGAGCAGCACCCTTTTCAAACGGTTACATCTTTAGTGTAACCTTTTGGAAAAAAAACAAAACAAAACAAAAAACCAGAAGGTACAGAGAGCTAACTGAAAAAACTTCCCTCCTGCAATGATAGATTTCACTGAAATTGCTTTTTAAAAGGCAGCTAGGTGATCACAATTCTTTTAGCATTTTTTTTTTTGCCGGTTGGCCTGTCTAAATTCCCTTTCTGGATTATTATTTTACCTGTTGCCCAGCATTTCCATATTTGCAGCTTCTTATTATGCCCGAGATTCCTCAGGGGTTAGAAGCTGTGTGGAACATACTGCTGTTGCTTTCAGAAACAAAGCAGAGCCTAGACCCCCAGGCCTCTGCTTCCCTCCTCATCGGCTCAGGTTTGGTGGTTTGACTGAGCAAAGCCTGAGGACAGAGCTCAAGCTAATGCTCTCTTGAACAATGCACATTGAAGTAGCATCTTCAGGTTCAGTTCTTGAAGTGCTGTTTTTTATGAAGCTAAAGACAATGAAGCAAAGCTACAAAACAATTCTTAGGTAAATGCAGTTACTTTTCTCCTTTCTGAAAGCAGACATCACTTTCTAGAAATTTTTGCTGATATCAAGAGTATTTGCAGATCAGGTAACATATTTTCTTAACTAAAGGTCGCAGTTTGCACTAGGATTGTCAAAAAGCTGAGATTCAATTTCCTTACTGTCTCATTTAAAAGAACTTCTATTGTAATGCAGAAGGTTAAACATTTTATTTAATTTTAGTCACTTTCATCTACAGGAAATGAGTTGCAAGCTGTTTAAAAACAATAAACACAATTTTTACTGTGTCTCTGATTAACTGTACCAAGCTGCTTTCAGTATCCCTTTCATATGGAAGGCTGAGACCTCAAAATATAATTTATGTCCAAACATTGAAGCTCAATTTTCTTAGTTTATTATTGAAAATGCTTCTTTTTTTCCTGACTAACCTTCTCCTGTGTTTCTGATAAGGAAGGAAGTTGTTGAAAGGCGCTGGCAATTAGCATTTCGGATTATATCATTTCTGTTTTGGGTTTGTGCGTTTTTTTCCTTAACACAACTTACTTTGAGATCAGCATTCTCAGGATCAGCTGCATCAATTTGGTAAATGCATTCCGGAGGTGTTCCTTCCAAGACATAGATAGTTACAGCTGCGTGGATATAAGTGTACTCAGCGTTAATTGGGTAAGAATAAAGGACACAGCAGCAAACTTCTGATACACTGAAGCTGTCGAGACATATTAGCGCCTGCTGCATCTTCTCACTTCACAAGCCTAATTCCAAAATCATCACAAAGAGCATAAATGCTCAAAAGATAAAAAGAAACCAATGGCATATCTGTAAACAGGCAACTGTCACTGTGACTTGCAGTATGAATTGTGCCTGCAGGAGAAAGGCCAGTCTTTACATAGGGCCTATCTTGAACTCCTCACAGGGTATGGAGTAAAATTATGCATTTGGGCTACACCTGTGTCATTCCTTGCTACACGGACGGGGAGAACATAGCTCTGTGGTAGGTCCTCATAGCCATACTCCCCCTGCCTACCCTTCGTCTCCTGCCAGGAGAGCTCAGGACCTTTCTGCTTCATTTCTGCTTTTCCTTTACACTTGTGAGGTAAATAATAGTGGATGGTCTGTGGTGACTTAATTTTTGCCCTATTAAAGGTGTTAATTGAGAGCAAGGTGTACTTCTTTCTATACCAGGAATTCTCACAGCTGGGCTATCCATACTGGGCCACTGGCAACTGGCTTATCTCTCCTTGGGTAGAGCGATTAAGAGAACAACAGATCTTTAGATCACATTATTTGCTTTATGCCCTTTTATGTCTGCTGGCCCTGCTTTTTCTGGACTATTAATTTCCACTGTGACCCCTGCTGACTGTTGCTTCTCATCAGAGCAGTGGGAATCCCAGAGCAGCATAATGAGTTGTTCCCAGAGGATAGCAATATGAATATAAAGTTTAATGAGAGGGAGATGCTTTTTCATAACTAACGAATGCACAATTAGTGTCTAATTGTAGCTGGTACTGTTAACTAAAGCCACACAGTTAGACAGATCAGACATCTGTGCTCACCAATTTATGGCAGCTCTAGCTGAGAGTTAAGCTGATGCACTTATTTCTAACAAGCTCCCACATAGAGTGTGTTTCATGCTGTGCCGATCCCCTGAAGTGTCACATTTAATTATTATTAGATTCCAGCAGCACCCATGGTACGAAAGACACCAGCTACGCTGAGAAGATGACACAGCTTCTTCCCTAGGGGAAGCTAATTTGCTTTACAAACTAAGTATTGTATAGAAGCAGGAGCATCGATGTGCTTAGAAGGTGTTAGTGAAACGGGCTGAATTTGAGCAGGCCTGGCCTGAACCTGTCTGGGCAGACAAGCCCTGTTTCTGCAGCAAGCAGTGGTCAAGGCTGGAGCTGCTACTGACCGCTCCAAGGTCTGTGAATCGCAGCCTACATAATCCTGCTGCTAGTCCAGATCAGGGAGGGGTTCAGAAGCCAGTTCTGAATACCTACCACAAACAGATCACATTTTTATATTCTCACATTTTTTTAAAAAAATGAATATTGAATTATTGAATGCTCTTCTGTGCGGTGCTGTTAGAATATTAAGACTTCAGACAGACTCTCAGCACCTCATGAAATAAAAAGAGCATATTTTTACTTACTACCTGAACTGTTCTGTCTGTGAACACATAACAAATACACCACTATACTCTATCACCTCATAGTACAATTTTTCCGGGTCCCTCTCATAAGTAAATGGATAAGATACGATAAGATAAGATAAGATCGCTCAGAGAGTAATACAATTATTTCATATCTTTTTATTGGTGATGTTATCCCTCATATTAGGTACTGCACAGCAAACAAAGCCTGCACTGAGGACAGTTGGAGTCTGGACACAGCAGCCTCATTCCTAAGGCTACCACACACTCCTCTCTGTTGCACCTTTGCCCACAGTCTGAAAATAAACCTGGTTAACACCATCTGTCCCACACAGGAGACAGAATTCTTTTCCTCTTTCCATTTGCACCACCACAGATCACAACCTCTTGAGATCTCACTCTTTAAACCGATTTTCTGCTTAATTTCTCACATGCAGGCGCAAATGAAATATACAAGTGTAAAACTTTGGCAGAGCCATGTTTGTGTTGTTTTCCCTTAGAAATTTTTGCATATACACAATATACACTTATTTAAATATATCTTGCTTCTCTAAATCAGTCAAGTTTTCCACAAAATACTGAAACACGTGCCCTTATTCAATGCTTATATCCCCACCAAACTTCAAGTTTCTAATACATACCTCTAGGTAGGTATTAATCTCATTAAAAAAGGAATATATATTTTAGTATAAAAAAGTGTTGGGTTTTTTTCAATTCTTCAGGTGCTTTGAAATGTTTAAATCTTTAAGAAAACTAAAAGGGCATTTCCAGAGGTGAAGCATAGCAAATACTTTTGTATAAAAAAGTTCTGATAAAAGCACTGTTCTGCTCCTCTCTCGGTTTCCTAACAGAAAATTCTTAGACCATATTAGCTACAGGTACTATACACAGCTAGTTTTTTTAATTTGATATCATCTTTTTCAATTATTGTTCTTCTCAAATACCACCATTATATTACTTTGAATTGCCATATTTCCTCGAAAGACAGGAGGTTCGTTTTGATCTATTACTTGGACAGTCAGTGTGTTAAGGTCAGTTCTCCCAGTTGTATCTTCAACGAAAATCTGTAAATCAAAGCTCTTTGGCATAGTTTCATAATCTAGGACAGGGTTTCCAGTAGTAACAACCTGAAAAGAAGAAGAAAAAAGAATTTACTATTAGTACGTGATGCAAGAGAGGTAAGTTACAGTCTATCTGAGTGAATACAAGTAAAGGGATGCTTTCCGTCAGAAAGCAGCGAGTATTTCAGATCATATTCTACTTGCTGGCACATTTCTTGTCTGGTGCAGAAATGTGGAGAGAACAGAGTGGAAAGACCAAAATGTTGTGGCCTCATGGAGCAACTCAAGGACCTCTTGTGTAAGGGACAGTTTGAGGAGGAGAAATCCTGGAAGGAGTTGCCTTGTCTCAGAGGCAACGCTTTGCCTTCAAGGCCAGGACTACATCTTGCAGATATTTGTCTGTGTCAAGTCTTCAGTTTTCCAGATCAAGCTCCAGGAGCAGTCAAGATGTGATGAGACTGAAATCTGTGAGGAAGCCATGCAGGACACAAGGACAGCTTCACCATTTCTGTGAGTCAGGAGCACCGGGGGAAGATGTTTGACTTGCAATAAGGCGTGTGGGGGCAGGAGACCGTAGTCTAGCAGGTACCAGCCCCTTCCTTGTACAGGCTGTGTCTGAGAGAACACTTGTAAGAAACCACTGAGAGAAGGGAGTTGCGCAAATACACTGTATGAGAGGAGGATGAGAACTGTTTAGCGAAAATGCTGAACTAAAAGAATAACATAGGCCTTCAGGTTTGTAAGATTGATAGGGCAAACATTTGCTTTGTTGTATTGGATTTTTTAAAAGGCTTCCAGCTCTTAATACGGAATATGTATAAGCAGAAGACTGACATTCCATGAAAAAAAACATTAAATACACTCATTTTGGATTTAGGATGAAGTGCAGAGCAATAGCAGCATGCTGAAAGCTGTATGCTTCAATCTCCACTGTTGAAGCTAATAAAGAAAGAAGATGTTTCCTTTCTTGGACAAGAAAAGAAAAGGTGACTCTTAAATTTGCTGTGTAGTTTAAAAAACGTGAAGCTTAAACACAGTATCAGGGTGCTGTGGAACTGGAGAAGGAGAAGATCTGGAGCTCACAAATGTGATAAGGAATGTGTCAGAGTGGGGGAGAGGATGCAGAAGGAAAATGATGAAATAAAACTTTGATTTTAGATGAGATGTCATGGCCAGAGGACAAATACCAAAGTGATGTCAGCGCAATTAGAAGAGAGAAGCCAAAATAGAGCCAATTAGCAGACAGTGAGAGGAGAGTAAACAGAAGCACAACTGTTTTTTGTGCCTTCTGGTATGTAAACCAGCTGCTCTCTGGAACCTTGTGGATCTTTTTATTACAATATTGCAGGAGTAAACAACGGTGTCCTGGGTGATCCTCTTCTCTCCTGTATTGTACAAATAGAAGTTTCCCATGAAAGTGATGCTAACTCAGGTAAAACACTCTACAAAAACTTGTAACACCAGTGGGAATGTCCAAAATGAATGTTTGCCCAAGATCTAAATACAGTAAACAGGTGCAATTAATTCAAAATCAGAAACTGTCCAATTCTAAAGCAGAAATGTGCTCTGGGGATTACCCCTCCAGTTTGCAGCCAAATATTTTCATGGGTGGTGTAACTACAACCAGACTGCCTAAATACACATAGAATCATAGGATCATTAAGGTTGGAAAAGACCTCTAAGATCATCTGGTCCAACTGTCTACCCAACACTACCATGACCACTAAACCACATCCCAAAGTGCCACGTCTATATGTTTTTTGAACATTTCCAGGGATGGTGACTCCACCACTTCCCTGGGCAGCCCATTTCAATGCCTCATCCACGCAATATCGTCCACCCTCCTTTATATAGAGACCTTGCAAGTGAAGATGAGAATGTAGATGGTCTCTTTTTAGCTTGCTTTTGAAAACAGCTTGCTACTAATGTAGGCTGTGAGCCACAATTCACCTCTCCTCCAGGTAGGAGTAACACAACTGCTAAAGACAGCACTGTACACACCTGAAGCAGCTGCAGACTTCATGAAAAGAGGTTTAGAGTCACCTCATAACTGTCTATCCGTCATTCCACCGGAGAATTTCACTGCTCCCTGCTCCCTGCTCCCCTCTCCACTCCTGGGATGCAGAGGGAGAATTAGTAACAGCGTGAAGGTAGTTTCAGGCAGCAGTATGTTTTCATGCATTAAACACATCTCTGCCCATGGGATTCTTCAAACAAGAAGGGAAGGAGGAATGAGCAGGGCTCATATCACAGAAACTGTGACTTTCTCAGAAATCTCAAAATATCAAGAAATTGGAGATTGCCTTGGCTTGCTACAACAGCAGTAAATGCATAAATAATTAGAAGTAGCAAAGCTCATCAAATAAATGAACTAAGAACTATCACGTATTTATCCTTGCCTTATGAGTTGGAATTAGCACTTGACTGCTAACTTGCAGAATTTGTATGTAGCTTTCTTTGTGATATTCTCATGAATGGTATGAATGGGCCCAACCTCTTTGTTCCAGTCCCTTGAGGGAGTTAGGAAACCCTGAAAACAGCTACAGTTCAAGCAAGACATACAGAGGCTCACAGGCCATTCTGGTAACAGGGCTGTGGTACGAAATGAATTCAAACTGGCACTTTGGAATAAGCTGTCTCTAACCTACACCTTTCTTGGTCATTCATTTTCATTTTTGTGTCACTCTCTGCACTGTTCTAGCACAAGAATTTCTCCATCATCCCTGACGTGACAAAAATCAAGGAGACCTTTTCTCTATCTGCTGGGTTATTTTTCCTCCAGATTAATTTCTCAGTCCTACTCAACAAGTAGCTACAGAAAAGGCTTTTGCTGCACACCATAGGGATGGCAAGGGACAGGAGCAAGCAGGAATAAAAAAGGGTTATGTTTTGCAGCAGAAGGGATAGCTTTAATTCAAAATGCCAAAATACAGCCTAGAAGAGAGTCCCATATTACAAATTCTGCCAGCAAAGACAGCTTAAGGGATGTATATGTTTCCTTCTGCCTGTTACATCCCCTCAGCTGACCCAGTTCAGGAGTTTCTGCAGCCACATCCTACGCTTCACACGTGAAAAAAAGGCTTTCTTGGGAGTTTTTTTTGACTGTTGCACTGATCTAGCTGGGAAGCACCTAAAGAAGCAGCAGAGCTGGCATGACAGGGCTTCAAACTCAGCCAGGATTTGGGAGCATGGGAAGAGCTGCTCCCTACGCTCAGGTCAAACTAATGAGTTGCAACTGCCTGGGATTACAGTCCTGCTTTCCCCAAATTTTCTCCCAGAAACACCAGCAAAGAGAATGAGAAAAGAGCCCTTGTATCAGTTCTGTGAAAACCTTAACTTCCTTTGCAACACTCAGAAAAATGTATTCCAGTTAACTTTTTAAGACACTGCTCAGTGCCTGCCAGTATCTTTTAAAGACACTCTTCGGTGTCCCTGTTCAGGCTCAGACATACAGGTGAGTTACAATAGGATGACAAGTTATCATGCATCTGAACACTGATTGCTAGTGACATTTGTTAGCTAATACTTGCTAATTTAACCAGCAATGAAAATTAGCCTGAAGTAATAGAAATTATTTTGCATTTGCCATAGGACAGCAGCACACAATAGACAGAAATATATCGCAGATGTGTGGAAGTGTGATATCTTCTTACCTCAAGAAAACTTCCTCGTGTGTCATAGCCTTTGTTCAGAATTAAATATGACTTTGATCTGACTCAGCTTATTCTATTTTGGAAGTGACTCGAAGTCATTTTAATTCTAAATGAGAGTGGCCAAACAGAAGCTGCATGTGGTTTAAATAAAACACTTGAAATTCACAATGACTTAATATAAATTAAGTTGGAAAACTATGGACAAATCCTAAAAACAGAAACAGGTATTATATGTCCTTTTTCACCTCCTATTTTCCAAAAATTCCTACTTTTTTCAACCACAGAATGAAAGGAATTATTGTGACAGGGTTTTTTTGCCTAGATGCAATTAAAAATTATAGTCACTATTGCTGTTCATTTGTCATATCTATTACAACATGTTCAAACACTACCACAGTCTGCGTTTGCAACTCTTTTCTGACTAAAAGATGAGATGCTAAGCACTGTCAGTGCTCAGTATTCAAAGAGACATCAGCCTACATGACTGAACATTGCTAGAGCTAAATGTAAAACTCACCCTGTATTCAAGATTTCCTTTTGATTCAATATCAAAAGCCTCTGTAAGAGGATTTGAATTTACTATGGTAGGAAGTATTGCAACGCCTTCAGAAGACAATGGAGAAACTGTTACATTAAAGGTATAAACTGAAACACCAGCTGCTGCATTTTCTTCAACGGTGCTTGTTGCAGGTAAGCCCTTAAGCAACTGGGTTCTTCTTCCTGCAAGATGAAAATGAATGTAAAATTACTTATAGGAATCTTAGGCTAGCAGGAGCACACAGCTTTTGCCAAGAGCTGCCATTAACGAGCACAAAATGGCCCAATTCTCTTTTTCCTTATGAGTGGTGGCATTGCACATTAGTAAAACCAATGCTAATGGTAAAAGAATCAATCTTTTATCTGATTCATACTACACTGTTGTCATCTAGAGGCACTATTGTTAAAGTAGTGTTGTTACTGCATCATTTGCCTGCATTCAGTAAAGAAACCGAATATATTTCTATCAGTTCATTTCATTCTCTGTGCTAATTGCTGACCCTGTGCACTAATCACATCAAAAAGAACATTCTATCACACCTAGATGTCAAAGAAGCAATCTCTTTTTTTTTGGTGAATTATGCTGTCTGCAGCACCTCTCCTCCTTTTTCTCTCGTCTTATTCTTTCAAGGACAACCACGTGCACACCTGGCTGGTGAGTAGTGTGAGTTAGCAACAACTTCAGGGGCTGTGCTGTTGTGTCTTCTGCTTTAAGCATGGAAGAGCAAACTTCAGCCCTTAGAGGAGATGTGGGCCCAAACTCTATGGTTCAAAACTGCCTGGAAGCAGCACAGACTGCTGTGGCATCCAGCAGCTTTGCATGACCTCCTAGCTTCTCCGTCAGACCTCTGGACTCCCCAAACCAAAATCTTCACTTGCTCTGTCATTTAGCTTCTGGGTTTTGTTATTTTTAAAAAGGCCTATTGTGCTTTATTTCATGAAGAGTGCCTAGAAAACATAAATCAGGACAGCTTTCAGAGCATATCCTGAAAAAACATCTTAGTAAGCTCATATCCCTAAACAAGCAACGTACCTCAACTTGAGACTACGGCAGGGCTGACTGTTGCTTCGAGGGGCTTTGCTGGTTTTTCCAAAACACCAAGAAAGCTGTCTGTGTTCAGCCAAACCCCTATCCACTGTGTGCCAAGAGGGAGGCAGATACTGCTCCCTCAAGCCCCTGACCAGGCTGTTCATACACCACCAATTACTGTAGCAAAATCACCGTGAAGTTTTTATTTTTGGTGAGCAGCCACAAAGTAAAGAGGTGCTGCAGAAAACTAGTCTGTGGCCATTAGGGCTGCAGTATGTTTCCTTTTGGATGCTTGGGCTCAGGCTGGAGCCTGGGAATGTAACACCAAGGGGAAATCTGCTGCCTTGTAACGCCTCTGGGGTGTGGGACAGAACCGCCTCCCTCAGGCCCTTCTCATGTGACTGGGGAAGGACAGTCCACACCAGCTACTAAAGAGTCACTCTAATGGCCATTCCTCCAGTGGCAGTGGGCTTTTAAATCTAGAGGGGTAGAGTTCAGCTCAAATGCTTTCCAATGACATTAGAAAAAGCCTTAGTGACGTTTTCCCCAACCTGTGAAAAAAATCTTGTTTTCCTACATCTCTAGAAAAATTCTGAAGCATTTTAGGAATAGCCCACGTATCACCTTCATGTGATAGACATTGCTCCTCTTACTGGCCTTTCACATATCTGTTCCCCATAGGATCAGAGAAGGCTTAGCATCCCAGGTTTTTGCTAGGTGAGAAGCAAAACTAATAGCAATAGATGAGTACACAAGACAAAGCATGGGATCCTACAGTCTTTCTTCTTCCTGCATCCCACCCCAGGAGGCTCTTCCCCTTGCAGTGTTTCCTGGAGCACTTCTTAGAGCTGAATGCCTCCGTCAGACACCTTCCGTCAGACACCTTCAGTTCTTCCTCTTGCAGCCTGCAAGACTCACTGCACTGTGGGGAGGAGAAGGAAGGAGTACAGGAGATGTTGTTCATCAAACCAGCCATACTAGGCTGTGGTGAGAGAGTTTGCCTCTGGCAAGAGCTTTTCTGATCACAGGGGCTCACTGGTAAGAGGCAGAGCTGAGGCACTTTCCCAGAGCCTCTCCACAGCTGCATGGAGGTTCCTACACTCCCACACTCCAGCTACAGCAAGTACATGGATCGCTAATCTGGATGTGATTACTTTGACATTTATGGAAAAAAAGGTCTTGGAGATTCTCTGTGGGTGGGTGAGGTACAGGCTGGGATGTGGGAGACTGTGAAGTGGGAACTGCCTGTAAGAGCTAATCTGAACAGGTCACACAGACATTCCAGTAGGACTGAGTTCAGCTGAGCTGTTACTGGTTATACTAACTGCTACTGTTACAGGGGAAGCAGGAAGACTGAATCTTTATCAGTGTTATAGATTCTGGAAAACAGCATTGACAAAAATCACCCATGCAAATGAGACTGAGCTGAGAGGGGCTTCTGGGAATATATTTTGATAAGTGGAGATGAATTTCGAATATAATCTCTTGTGGACAGTACCTGATGAATCCAGTTCCCTCTGCAAGACACAGTTCCTTAACGAAAGCTATACATAAAATCAGTGAAATAATTTGTAACATTTAGAATTATAGAAAGGAGTTGCTATTTTTATATTATTGCTAAAGATTTCATTCGTTGTTTATTCAAGATTTGTCTTTCTAAATTACAAGTTCTGACTTCTTGCTCTTTATTTTTAACGGAAATTTTTGGTACTGCAACTAAACATCTTCTTCCAATTGATTTTACAAAAGCACTCCTTCCATATTAAAAAGTTCTTGCTTATCTCCTTACTTCAGAGAACAAAACATGCCTGAAGCAATTTAATACATTATTTATCAGAATTACCAACCCCAAGCACTGACAAATGCTGAATCCAAGACAAAGCAATCAGGACACTGGCTTTGAGAAGCATATGTATATTTAAGCCTTATTTATCTGTGATTTGTCAGTCTTTACAGTGTGCTCAAGACACACCTTCAAGCTTTTCTCTCTCCACAAACATGCAGGTTAGAAAAATGCTGGTTCTCGGGGAAAGCTGAGATTCACAATGCATTGTCCTGATCACAGTTTCGGGGACATCAGGAAAACCACCAAACACTGTCAGGTTCCTGAGGGCTGGCAGAACTCTTTCAGTTCCTTGAGAGCAAAATGACCCTACATGAGCAGCTATTTCACTACAAGCAACACCAAATGCCCCATGAGCCACACAAAGTGTGGTTTGAATATCTGCTTTACATTGCTAATGTGCACATATTCATAGAATAATAGAATGGTTTGAGTTGGAAGGGACCTCAAAAATCATCTGATTCCAACCCCCCTGTCATGGGCAGGGACACTTTCCACTAGATCAGGTTGCTCAAAGCCCCGTCGAACTTGGCCTTGAACACTTTCAGGCCGAATCTCCCATGTTTTTGCACTGGGTAAAGATAGTGATACTACCTTACTAATATTCTCCACAAGTTTCCTGTTTTGTCTTGTTTGGTTACTTGGTTTACTTCATCAAAAAGTAATGTTACCAGTATTTGGAAGGAGAATACTGGAGTATTAATACTGGATCTTGTTTCTTGGAGAGCTGACCTCCTTTCCCACTCCAACACTGTCACACTGAGCAGTAGCTGTTGCACACAAAGTGCCTCATCCAGTAAAGCATCTTAGCAAGGAGTGATATTCTCTTCTCCATTATTCTGCTGTAACCACAGAGCCCAATCTATTTCAGTAGGAAAATAATTGTTACTTGATTTTTTCCATCCGTGTCTGATCCCTAAGTATGTTTTATAAAGCTCCCAAGAGAAAGTAAAACAGCCAACAGTGTTCTAATTTTAGCAGCATAATGAAATCATATTCTTACCAGATACTACTCCCAGCAAAATGAGTAAAAGGAGCATGCTCTTCATAGTCTTTGCAACCCTGTCGTTCGTGTTCCCAGGATGAAAACTGAAGGAAGATCATGGCATGTTTTCCCTATACATCAGCTCCACCTAAATTCTTCCTCTTTGTCATGTTGTGAAGTGAGAAACAAAACAAAGGACTCGTGTCTCTAAGGGAGTTTCTAAGCACTGTCAGCTTGTTTGCTTGTCAGGAAACTGCTCCTTGCTGACACTCCATGCACAGACCTGGGCCACACTTGAGAAAACAATCGTAAATAGTCTTTTCACTGCAATCATCTTATTTATTGAAGCATTATGAAAAGAATCTAGTATATTTTAAACCTGGAAATACCACGCTTCTTTCCTTGCTCTGGCAAATGAGGTAGTCTCTTCACACACCAAAATCAAATACTCATGCTATTCCACTTAAACCAAGAACCTGAAGTTTTCTCAGTTCTCTGGCTATCAGAGAATTACTCAGACCACACACATCTGCATAAGTGGAGGCGAGATTGCAGCATATGTACATGATGAAGCTAGCTTTGCTGTAGCTGTCTCAGGAACAGCATGGACCACTATGCAAACGGCACTGGCTCCCTTAGATTAGGCATTTATCTAGCTAGCCCACAATACACCCATCCTGGGTTTGGTGTTGTGGTTTTTTTTAAAAAAAAAACAACAGCTAGAGGCAGCCCTATTGGTTTTCATGGAGCATGCTATAGAGATCATACTAATACTGGAACTGGATGCATCATAGGTGCATCAGCATCAATTCGTAGAATAATTTAGGATGAAAGGGACCTCTGGAGGTCATCTAGCCAAATACCCTGCTCAAAGCATGTTTAATTAGATCAGGTTGCTTGGGGATTTGTCTAGCTAATTCTCAAACAGTTCCACACAAACTTAATAGCTTTGCCGAGAGACAGAATTTAGAAATTCAGGTTTAACATAGCTCTGGAGAAACCGCACTGATTTGTGAGCTAAGCTAGCAGCTCTAGATGGTTCTGCGTGACACTCTACAGCTCTCCCAGTGAAAGCTGTTCAGAAAGTTGTTCAGAAAGCTCTGTCTCATGCTCCCATGTTTTGTGTAGTATGAGCACATTAACTGAACATGCTGAACATGAACAGCTAGTTTAACGCTGGTGCAGGCATTGCCTATGCTTGCTGCATGCGCACCTTTAACTATCGCACATATGAGCCCTGGAGGATTCTGCTGATATAATGAAACTGGAAAAGATGCATCAGTAAAACCTCCTGATTGGAACTGAGCCATACTTACATATCAGATACTGGCTCGGAGAAATATTCATTTGATTGTTGATCTGCATCTATATTGTAGTGCTTCTAGGGCCTTGGCAAGCTCAGATGCACACTAGGTTTAAAGCGAAGGTGGCCACACCACATCATCTGGGAGCTCACATCACATCAACCTGTAGTACTGAGGATGATAATCTTCTGTTGCCCCAGGAAATGTGTGCCTAGACTTTATGTTAGCAAAAAAAATATATGGAAAACCTCACCCTCAAATGACCTGCTTATGCTGATAAGGTATTAAAGTAAATGTATTTATATTGGTAAAAAGTCTACCCTATCCCTTTACCTACCAGGTAGTTGCGCACCCCTTCATAAGTAGTTCTTGGGTCCACAAAAACCTTTTGATCTGACTGGACATTTCATTAAGATGAGGACTGTGTGCACATGCAGGAACCAGGCTTGTACATAAGGTTGTGATCTTCTACTAATTATCAGAACACTGTTTTAACCTTGAAAGAACTATAGAAACACCTGAGCTAAGTTAAAAGTAGCCAGTCTTTCAGATACATGTTTAAATTTTTTAGTATCTAGCTTGGGTTATAAGAGTGTTCCCACCCTATGCTCTGAACAGCCAAGGCTTCTCCAGAATTCAGAGGTCACAATTTTTGTCCTTTATTTTCTTTCTCATGTTTCTTAGGCTGTTCTTGCGTTTTGGTGTTTGCGTTTGTGTTTTTCTTTTGAGAGAGTGGTGGATGGTTTTGGTGTGGGTTTTTTTTTTTCCCTATAAATACATTTTCTAACATATTTGTTTTGTCCTTCTTTCATCTAAGAACCTACATAGATCTGCTTTCAGCAAGAGTTCAGTGTCCATACACATAAATCAGACTTTACTCCACATATCTTGTGATAGAGACACCATAGAGGGACATGGGAGACATGGATGGCAAAGGCGTCTGGAATACACACGTGCTTGAAATGCCAGCCTTTCCCCAGCTTCACTTCGAAGTGCAACAGATAATTGTTTCAAGTGCTACGTGAATATCCATGGAGTAGTTAATTCCTGTTTTCTCTCTAAATATGTCTCCAGGGCTTTCAGGTAGTCGCTGTTCAGACTCATGGCTCAAGCGTGTTGCGAGAAAAGACTCTAGAGGTCTGTAGGGAGACACGGTGGGGGGGGGGGGAAAGTCAAGTGTAGCACACAGAGGGGAGAGTGAGAAGGGCACCTCATATGGGTGGAGAGAGTATAAGCAGAAATGGCTCTGGCTCCTTCCTTCAGTCACTGCCAGTATCTCTCAGTAGCTCCCTTAGATCCCCTTTTCTTACATTCCTCTGCTGAGTGGATTTCTGTGGTTCTCTGATTCATAGAATCACAGAACCATAGAATGTTAGTGGTTGGAAGGGACCTCTAGAGATCATCTAGTCCAACCCTCTTGCCAGGTTTTGAGGAATAGAGTGAAAAAGCAGGAAGAGCTAAAAGAGAGCCCCAAACAGGTGAAAATCAGGTAGAAATAAATGTATGCATATAATCAAACATAGAGCTGGTTAGGAGCAAATAATTTAGGCAAAGGCAAGCAAGGCAGAAGTTCCAAGGTGAGGCTGGCAACAGTAGCTCTGCCATTGCAGGAAGGTCAGGAATGAGATTCCTGGGAATATAAAGCAGCTAGATGAAGAGAGGTCAAGATGGTACAAGCAACAATACCACCAGGGAGTGGAAATAGAGGAAAGAAAAATTAATCTGAGCAGATGAAAAGGTCAAGGAACAAACTGGGGCTTTAATCATTTCTTGGTTTTCAAGATGGTTTGAAATCTGGGCATTTTAGAGCAGTGCAGAAAAAGTGCATTTCTGAAAAAATGTCTTCTGGGTTATCAGATAAACTGAGAATGTGAGGAAGATGCTATATCTTTCAGGAAATTACAGAACCTTGTTTCAAGGGGAAAGACCAACAGATTGGAGTGAGAGAGACTGCACTGCTCTTGAGTTGGGTTGCAAAGAAAGAACATGGGAAGTGAAGAGTGGGACAGAGCAGAACTTGATGGACAAGCTTTCAGTTGCCTATCCTCAGGAAAGTGGGATATTTTAAGAGAGGTCAGTTTCAGAGAAGCAGTCTACTTGCATAACAGTAGTCTACTTGCATAACAAAATGTGCAGGTTCAGGGCATTAATCTTATTTTCTGAGTGTTTAAGTCTCAATTGACTTCCAGTCTGTCAACAAGAGAGAAATGTTCTCTCACTTCTCACATGCATCAGAGGTTCAAGACATAATTTTCCCATTAAACGCTATTTCAGACAGAGTAGTGGCTCTCTTCTGCTTAGCCAACCCACAGGCAAGGAGTCATTTTGCTTTGACTGTGATAATAATTCACCAAAAATTCAGCAGCCTAAGGAGAGTTTTCACGCACCTGGTCCAATCTTAGTTCAAGAATCCTTACTATTGTTATTTCGTTAATTAAATTACCTAGACTGTCAGGTTTTATTGGCATCTCCTTTCTCTTTAAGCAGGACAGCTTCTCAATCCACTGCCTAAAACATTAAAACACTTCCTTAGCATCCCACACCAAAGACTTATGCATCATTTCATTTGATTTCTCAGCTAAAATCTTCCTCTACCATTTGCGAAAGACAAGAGCAAACTAATAATCATGAGTACTCCCCTGGCTACCTTAATTTCACCTAAAGCGATCCCAGTTTAGCAAGGTTAGTAACATATGCAATTATGCAAAAGAGTCCCAGACATATACCTGGGCCGTCTATTTTCTAGCATTGACTTGTAGACACATAAATGCACTAGTCACCTCCCTGATAATTAACTTGAGGTGTCTGTTAATAAGAAGTGATTCCATCACACCAAAAGGTTTTTTATTTGTGATCCAGATTTAAGGAAAGAACAGTCTAAAGTCTGGATGAGTATACACAGAAGTCCCAAAGTGTTGCTGTTGTCAGTGTTGAAAACAAGTTCTTCTACTGCTCCAGCACTTATACACTGGAGGGATGAAAGCATTTGCCAGAGAAGGAGCCTTTCTTTTGCCACAAAGAATGTGAGCACTTATTTTAGGAGGATTGGGAGTATGTAAAACATTAAGACAGGGGAAATTGTTCTGATTCTTCCCATTCCCTCTGTTCCATCTTGACAAATGTGGACTGAGGCAGGCAGATGATTGTGAGGACATAAGTTCAAGGAAGCTCCCGATGTATTAGAATCTTCCTAGAAGAGGTCAAGTGACTTCTCTAAGACCACACAGAAAATCCAGAAAAGCCAAAGTTCTTGGTCTCACTCCCAATCTCAATTACAAAGAGTGTAAGACATCATGACTGTAAAAAGCACATTGTTGCCAATTTTTTTTCTCTTTGAGAAGTTCTTGTGTTGCTTAAAAATGCTACATTTTCTTCTGCATTAACACAACATGGAAGTCAATGAAACACAGGCTTCAACATTCAGTAACCTGAGCAAAAATAGATGTTATCAGCAACAACTTTATGACTTGTGGTTCATGATCAAAAATGTGTGGTGGTGTAGAACATTCAGTACCTTTGAGAAATTATGTCACTTGTCCACAATGGTCATGTACGTCACTTGAAGTTTAATCATGTGATTTTTCTTCCAAAAAGAGTTCTAGTGCAAGTAAAGATTCAGTGAAAAATGTGTCAAGGCCAGCAAAGTCTTCTTTCTGAGTTTACTGGATATTGGATTGAGGCCTGAATCCATGTGGCAATACTTTGTGCCTCATGATACAGTCTTTACTGTATATGACAAGTTTGTTACTGTAATTGCTTG